AGTGAAAAATTGACTGAAAACAGTACAAACATCAAATCAGTTGATAGATGAAAAAGACACACTTACCGTAGCCTAATATTTTTTGCCCACGATACAGACTATTAGTTTCTTGACTTTTTTCTTGATGTTTACGGTGGTATACAGTAGATCTACTGGTTTGTTGATCAAAATGTTCCTGTCGTGAATAGGACTGCTTGGTGCTGCCGCCTGTATTGTAGTTATCAAGGGTATTTCCTCTGTCACTGTAGTGTACAACACCCCCTGACCCTCCTCCTCCAGCACTGTAGCTGGCGCTTTGGCTGGCGCTGTATCCTGCGCTGTACGCTGACATACTTCCTTAGATATTGGTACACTTACTACCTAGCTACAACTGCACAGTAATCTCCTTTGTTATCAATCCTCAAATAAAATACAACAGAACAATATCTTTTTTGTTTGGTATTCCTGAAGTAATATGCTGTTAAAAATCTTCAGGTTCCACAGTATTCAGCCACACCCTGAATTTTTCAATTGAAATAATATCCTAGGCTTTCCCAGGTATTTGAAAATTCGCTGATTATATCTTAGGCTCCCACTTTTTATCTTATCTCACTTTTTTGGTTCAGTTTCCCGTTAGTACAATCCTCTTTGCTTTGTTTTGAACTTTTTTCCTTCTCCTTTCGTCCGTGCCTATGTCTTATCACATCTGATCTGAGGAGATATATTTATATCTTGCCTGACAACATGGATTTCCCTAGAGATGACTAACTGATGCCTGCATCCAGTTCACTTAATATCTTTCAAAATGTGTCTTCCCAATTTTTACTGATGATACGTTTCAGCCAGGGAAACTGCTGCTCTAATACTGCATGCTTGCCTGACCTGTCATATAGACTCTAGCAGGCGAGGCATGTCTGCAGGGCAACATTAAAAGCACTATAGTCGACTAGTTGAGAAATGGCTTACAGAAACCCTTAAGAGCCTCTCTGTATGGTGCCTATACACAGGTATTACCAGACAGCATGCAGCAGTTGTGTAATGTCTGTCACGGAAACACAGCCCTATCGTACATCAACTTACACATCAGTGGACATTGGTCATCTTGATGGATGACCAGGAGGGAGGGAGGCCTCGTTAGCAGGTAACTAACTGCCAAGACAGGTGAAAAAACAGCAACACACCCAGAGAGTCTGACCAAGTCTGGGGACTATTTACACCTTACTTTCATATTGTTTGGACACAATTTTGTATCAGTTAATGATCAGAGTCCATTGAACACTTCAAGTGTCACCCATCAGGCCTGCATACAAATTAATGTGCAAGGTAAAATCCAGCAGTGAACCTAATTATTACATTATGACCTGACACAGACCCAGCAAATACATGTTCAGAAATATATCTGCAACTGTCTGTGCTGTCACCGTGGCTAAGTATAGCTGACAGGTGATAAAAATGATGCAAAAATATAATTCTTCATTAATAACAAAGGCAGATATAAAGGTAAATAATGTCTTGATTAAATGTTTTATCTTCCTCAAATTATATCATTCATTAGAGGCTGAAAGAGCGATTTTTAACTCTTTATTTGAAGATGCAATATCATCATTCAGCTTATACAAAATGCAGAGTAATAGTTATTTCAACTTGCATATTTTCTTTTCAGTTTTTCAAACTTCATCTTACTAATTTAAACCACATGAATTCCTAGCCTGGGAGGACAGACATGGTGCCACATACTGAGGACATGAGCATAACAATGTGTACCTGTAAAATTGGCAGATTTCTTAACTCTGACAACATGGAACTTCATCAAGTGAACACTCTCACTGGGGTCATAAGAAATCATTTCTCGTTTACAGAATCTAAAAACACCAGAATGACAGGAAGACTTGATTTTGATATATTTTTCTTAATTTCACTTAATATTTAACATGTTTCAGTTTCAGTTCAATAATGTTGAATGCAGTTATATAATATATATCTTAATAATTTTTATCTATAAACTTCTTTGTATTTTATGTTGTACAGTCTATTGAACATTTTATGGATTTTAGACTCGAAATAAATATATTATTATTATATTATTATTAAATCTTGGGAGTTCACAGTTGAACCAAAGAGAGTTCAGCCTGTGCAGGTTGCAATGATTTAATTGACTACTTGACAAGTATAATCCAGTCTAAACAGGGCGTACTGTGGATATAAAGTAAAGCCGGGACTGTAAGGCATTCTTGTGAAGCACTCCTAGCAGTAGACACAGCACCAAGACAACACAAATGTATGCAGACAGAGACGATGATTCATGTCACAAACCACTCTGTTTTATGTCCCTCCCTGCAGCATGAATAATGCATTAATCACCTGCAAATACTACTAAAGAACACTCATTTGTTTTTTATATCTAATGGATTTCCAGTGCCACCTATGTTGTTGAAGCCATGTGACTAGAATACATCCCTAGCTCTGGCCAGTCACCTGTCGCCTTAACGCCTATAGCATTGTGTCACCTGGTACAGGACAACTGCTGCCACCTATACCTACGCAACCTTTAACATGTTACTGCATAAAATGAGAAGTTGAGACAAGAAATGCAACAACTTTGCTGTTTTATGCAATGTTTTATAGAGTGCTATGCAAAATGGCCAATCAATAAGCCACTCAGGAAACTAAACCCAATGTGACTTTATGGGTGTATTCCCAGAGATTTAGATCAATCCAGAGATTAAGATTTAGATCGACCTAACTCCCTGGGGGTTCACGCTAAATTGCAGTCAGCCGAGTGCGCACCATAGTTAATTACCCCCTTACAGCTTTTATAGGCGGAACAGAGGCTTAAGCCGGCTAAGCTGACAGTAATCTAGTGAGACTCCCCACAGGGATAGATCGATCTAAAATCTATGGGAATGGGGTCTATGTGAAAATGGTGAGTAAGGACAATACATTTAACTTCTGAAAGTTAACTTTTCTATTTCATGAAAATCAAATTTTATTCACATGAAACATAACAGCAGCAAGTGACGAAAAGACAACTATATTAGTCCAGTTGTTAAATCTTTCTCTCAACCTACCTATGAACTTAGCTTCCTTGCCCTTCATCACCACAGACGGCATGTTTGTCACCTCCACGGCGCTGATATCGTGTCCTATCAGCTCGTATGGACTACCAGGGACTGACACACCTGAGTACTCTACTGCCATCTGGTGTTTACCTGCACATATGACCAAATGTTCAAGTTAACTTCAATACGTATATACTGAAAAATGACTATAATATCACTTGAATTTAACCAAACAATAACAAAAATAGTGCCGGGTATAGTTATTAGTAACATCCATCTTTCCATTTTGATGTTTTTATAAAGACTATTTAAGTTTGTTTATGAAACATTGGTCAGTCAAAATTGACAAAAAATGTCAAATTGCTAAAACTTTACCTGCTTCTATTAAAGTGTATTCTATCCTGCAATTATCACCATCTTTGACTATATCGACAGGTACTTGCTTATAGCTGGGAGCTAGAACATAGTGAGATGGTATAAAATGACATGGCAAGTAGTTCAAGAGATATTTAACACAAGATGTTAAGACATGTTAGTTTAGGAAGAAAAACACATGTTCTTATAAAAAGCGAATCAATCAACTAATGCTTTCAAATTCAATCTTTAAAATTTAACAAAATCTTTAAATCAAGACCAAAATTTTGAATTTTGAATGATCAGTTTTTAAAAGCCAAGAATGAAATTTGTTAAGATGTGCAGGTGAATAAGACAGTAGATCCTTAGCTTTATATCTAGCACAATTCAATTGGCCGGACATGATAAGAGATTATGGTAACTATATATCTGTCATAGTTAATGTTGAAGCAAGGGGAGAAGGGATAACCTACCTCAAGTTGTAGCTTGTCCTTGTTACCTTTGCCAGAGGCATCATCTCCATCAATAATGACATATCACCAGAAGCATTCTCGATCATAATAAACCACCAGAAATGTTTATGTTTTATAAGCGCCAAGCACCAGCATTTCTTGAACAGGAGCAAAAGGCAGCAGTAGAATATCACAGGATGCACGATAACTTTTTCTCTCCCATAAAACACACATCTCCAGAAATATACTTTGTTTTCAGGTTCTTGAGACCATCACCAAATAAAAAGGTCTTCATGACAAATAGATTTATATATTTCTTTAAACATCCGATTGGCATTAAGAGTTGTAAGCCTATTTCTTCATAATTGCCACAACAGACACAGACAACACACACACACACACACACAGACACACACACACAGACAGACAGACAGACACACACACACACACACACACACACACACACACACACACACACACACACACACACACACACACACACAGAGCATATAAATTATTGGTTACACTATAGACTTTCACTTTAAAACTTTTAAAACCTAGTTTTGTTATTTGCATGGTTAAAGTGTAATGTATCTTTTGTTACTAGAGATCAAGGTTTACACACCCATGTCAATCATTTTATAACTGTTTAGCACCACAATATTATGTGATTTATTTTCTGGTATCAGTCAAACATGGTTATAATAAAAATATGTCACAAAAATAAACTGTGTTCTAATAATGGAAACATGCCATTACTTTGAAAGACTCCACATCAAAATAACTCACAAGATTCCAGTTCCTTTTATCCACACCAAGGTTATAAATACCACCATAAGACATACAACATAACACAACCACAGCTGTCCCATCTACTGCAATATCAACTGTCTCAACTCACTGCAGTCCCACAGACAACCTGTACAATCATGACTTTACTAGCTACTTCTAACTACCCTGGTGCTGAACTAAACATGCATACAGAAACCTCTGTTAGAAGAAATCATAACCATGCAACAGTGGTCAGTAACATAATTATGATGTTATAATAATAATAATAATACCTGGGGATACCTAGAATTAGTATAAACTAAGGGATTGCTAATATAGTTGAGGTAAAAAAGGTGTCTACCACTAGTTTGCTGGGGAAACTTACAAGTGATGAACACTTTGAGGTCATTGTGGTACTGTGCTCCCTTGATCCGAAACCCCGCGGGTTTCCTCACAGACACTGCATTGTGGAACCCAGACAGTGCTATGTGACTGGCATCTCTCACCTTGGAGATCATAGGGCAGCCTGCAAGACACAGGGACAGATATATGGAGGGCTTATACAACTCCTTTGACAGACAAAATCTTATTTAAAACTAGAGGATCAGAGAGGTGATACTGCGTCCAGATATTGTATTAGCACCCTAGTATGTCGGAACAAATCAAGCAAATCCTAAACTTACAAAATGACAATTTTATCTTTTTGTACAATTTCGACCCACAGGAAGTAAGTAATGTGATGTGGTCACAGTACAGAAGTGGGACTTGATGTATACTTACTGGGGACCCTATCTCCATTGAACTTGATGTCCACCTCGTGGTCAGCTGGTGTCCTGGGGACAAACACCACCCTGAACACCCCCTTCCTCAGCATCTGGACGCTGTTGGGGACTGCCCCCTGGTTGACCATGATCTCCAACTGACCCTCTCCTGCCCTGGTCACATCAACTGAAACAGTGGACAGAGCTGGTTCAAACTGACTGAAAAGTTCCTTAGAGAAGAATCCTGAAGTCAACTTGTTTTGTGTGTGCAGTTGTTTACATAGGATAATATAACTTAATATAGGATAAGGAATATACTTCATTAGCATAAACTACAAGTATTAATGTTATATATATATATATATATACATAAAAATTTTAATCACTGTAGCAAGGTTCAGAATATTAATCATACCACAATTCTCTATCCACACAGCATAAATGACCCTGTAGAGTCGCACAAAATCTTTTTTTGTTTCAATTTACAATTGTCAGAATCAAAAAGTCAAGCTACTATAATTATATTCTCCAAATCAACCTTATTTAACTATTCAATACTGTAGAGGTCAGAGAAGAATGCTCCACCCTATACCTTCAAATTCCACAGTTTTTCCAATATGTCCATCGGGCAGCTTGGTCACTCGTATTGCACTAGGGTCATAGGCTTTGGCCAGAAATGGACTTCCCACAATGGGCTGACCACCAAAGAGAATGTCCAGCTGGTGACTGCCCACTTCGTTAGGGACATACTCCACTTTATAGTTCCCATTGCGGTTGTCTATCAGCTTAGATGGCACTATTACTCCATTTGGACCTGTAGGATCAAGAAAAATGATCTTTATGGTCTTTGACTATATGACTGATATATTGTATAACAAATAAGATGGAAATTTGAGATTAAAATGAAACAAATTATATTTCTTGTTTTATCTGGTAAATTTACAAAGGTATTAACTTTTCAATCTTAAAAAAAATAATCCAGCTGACACAAAATAATCAATAAAATTTGAAGTTTAAAATTCTCAAATGGAAAGAATGTAGCTTTAATAACAATTTAATCAGTGATATGTTGATTTCTCCCTCTCTCTTTCTCTCTCTCTGTCTGACACACACAATCCTCCTACTGCGAATATACACATCCACGCATGATACAACTAATTTACTAGTTTGTAAAATAGCTTTCCAAACAAACCTGTGACTTTGACATCAAATGCCCCCTTCCCAGAGGCAGTGGTATTCAGCGCTATCTCCGCCTTCCTGTGGACAGGGATAAGCTGCGACACTTCCCCCACAGTGCGCACCTTGCTGGCGTCAATCACCTCCATTACCCAGGGACTGCCTGGAACAGAGTGCATGCTGGGATATCAACATAGGCTCACATACTCTACATCTTGGCTAAGGATTAATCTGATATACAACTGCCAATCTTTCAAAATCAATACATTTCATACCTAGAATTGTTGCTAGTAAACAAATACACTGCCATTATAGCTCTTTAATAGGTATATGAGTATTTATTAATGTACAATGACTGCATGTAAGCATTATCTTGATGTGTAACACCATCTGAGCTGTATTATTATCAATAATTTACCAGGTACGCTCTCCCCATTGAACCTCATCTCCACGACATGACTGACAGGATCTATGGGGAGAAAAGATGCCAGGAACTTTCTGTTACCAAGGTTATGAACTTTGCACGGAATGACGCCATTGTTGACTATGATCTCCAGGTTTCCTGAGCCAGCACTGGAGGCATCAACTGGAAGCAGAAACAGAATAAACTTCAAATGCAACTTTTGCATTGATCTTATATCATACACATCAAATATGAGAAGTATTGGTAACTTGGGATGATTGTTAAATGTAATAGTGCGAATTGTAGTTTTGGGGTACTCTGACCAAGAGTGGTCATGAAGTGCTCTAGTAATGAGACACTGATTCCATCACTTCATGTAGAGATTAGAAAGACTACTACAAATTTTGTTGATTTCACAGAGACAATCTGTATCAGGAGCTAAATATTTGTATAACTGTCATGGGGAATTGTCTGTGTTTACATTTCAATTGTGTATCATGATTCAATAATTCTGGAAGTGAGACTAAATCATCCCAGTGTTCTGCAATAGTGTTGTCTGCGTTAACTCACTCTCAAAGTCCACAGGAACACCCTTGACTGCATGTTTCTGTATTCCAGCCACCTGTACCTTGCCAGCATTGTAGATCTGGGTCTGACCAGAATACACCTGCTTGCCATAGAATACCACTTCCACGTCATGTTCACCTGAAAATACAACACAAAAACAGTCTACAATAGGTTCACACTGTATCAGAGACCTATTGTACCACAGACCTTTCTATTGTACCACAGACCTGCTGTACCAAAGATCTATGGTACCACAGACCTACTGTACCACATAACTATTCTACCGCAGACCTATACNCGTAGCCACTACATCACAGACTTATCGTACCACAGACCTACTGTACCGCAGGTCAAAGATACCAAAGAACAAGGGTACCATGGTTTATCACAATGTTACTACCTGCCATATGTCAATGAGTAGAAACTAACTGTAAATGCTGACTACAGAAAATCAAAAACCTATTGAGTATTTACCAGTTGGTCACATTTTTGGTCCGTTAAAAAAAAAAATGTGTGTGTGTGTGTGTATGTGTGTATGTGTGAGTGTGTGTGTGTGTGTGTGTGTTTAAAATAAAATGCGGCAAATGACATCTTATAACACACATACTGGAGTGATTCCAGAGTAAAGATCAAGAACATATACTATATAACACTTATAGATATAATTACAAATCATCACAACACCTGTTACAGTAGTTACATGACAGAAGTATACAGCAGATTAAGTGACCTTATGTCTCAGGGACGATCTTCCTCAAGACTGCTGCAACCTCAATCTCTCCTAATGATAACTATATTTGTAATTAGGATGGGGTCACATTCTATGACATTAGGTGGCATATATGAACTTCTGGGTTCTAAATGAGTTGTGTCTCAATTCAGGCAGATTTTTGACTGGATTTACAATTGCCTGATTATGTGAATTAAGCCAAGAGTAAGCAACAAAGTCATAAGATCATCAACTCCTGGTAGAAACTCAGTAATCACTCTCATCTACAAGAGAATGGCAAATCAAAGGACCTCTCCCTATTTAGGCCTGTGACCAAGGGGGGGGGGGTCAAATGAAGTGGAATTTTTGCCTGGAAAAGGTCCACTCTGGTTAAAATTTGATCTATAGTTACACAAAGGTTTAATGGTAAAAGGTCAACTTTTTCAGAAAAAGACCCCCCCCTCCTTTGAAATTGCTGGCTAGGGGCCTGGCACTGACTATGTGGCTGACTGCATTTCTGATCATATACATTACAACAGGAACAAAAGATGTTCCATATATAACTGAAAGGACCCTGTGTAACTGTATGCTGGTATTTGTATTACGTATATAATAATAGAAACAGTGTCAGGATGAGATGCAGTAAAGTATCATGTTGAACATAGTTTTAGCTTTGAATGCAACCTGGGCTTCAGTGGAATGATAACTGTTGTCACAGTAATATCTCCAGTACAGGACAAACAATAACCAGTGTAATATGAGCAGATCACATCACTAGCATATATCATCAGGATTATGAAATATCTTTAACTGTATGTCATCGATCAGGAACTCCATTCTGTTTCATAATACAGTTCAATACAGTTCTCAGCTTTATAAAACCTTACCATCTACATCTGCCATTTCCTCTGAATTTCCACTGATCTTTGAAAATAAAGTTGTCAATTATATTTGAGTATATTCCTATCTATGTAACAGTTGGCTGGAAGAGTTCTCTAGGAAGAAGAGGTTCAGGAACAATATGTGAGATCACTGTAATGTATTAACAAGGACTACTGCTACCGTCATCTTCGCGAACAGATCATGTACACATCCCTGTCACCCGGCCAATGTCATTGACAGTTACAATGTCCCCTACTGCTGCTGACGCTGACTGCCCACAAGCACTGTGATTACGCGTCCTGATCTCCTTTTTGCGGGATCCAGATTATAGCGCTGGTCAGTGTGACCCTGTGCTGAATTGTAATCCCATTCACAGAGAGATGTTTAAGTTCTTCAAAGCAATATATACACAGTCTCAATATACTATATGCCTGTCAACAGAGCAATACCTGACTACAGTGTATATGGGGTATGACTAGCAGCTGGGCACTTGATGGGGGGTGGGGGGTGGAGCAGCCTCAGGAACGTGCAAGTATCACAGTATTTTCTGCAGCATTTACCAAAATCCAGTAAGCAACAGCACAATATTACTCCAAGTGTCACAGATATGTCAGCGAAGTCCAGGTGACAGCACAATTTTAATCTATTCCAGTGCACAGAAATCTACAGCAGGCTCTGTATCCACCACTCCCACTTAATTGACAGTATATTAGGTACTATCCCTGCCGCTGCCTTGGTGTATCCCGCTGTTCTTGTAACTCCACCATGTGCCCAATATTTACAGATCACAATGCATGCTGCTCAAATTCCCTTCACTTGTCCTCATAAAGCATTAAATCTTTTACCAAACTCAGAACCAGTTTTCAACCACCCTTTTTTCTCTATTTACCCAGCCTTCTGTATATGGGAAGTGTACAAACAATCACAGTGTAAGTTCTTAAGGCTACAGTGCATTGTAGTGGTACATTCCTAGATATTACCATAACAATGGCCAGGTAAGCTGCAGGGCGACACACCTGATCAATCCAGGCCAGCACACATACCCCCATTAACATGTGCTTGGGGACCCTGTTCTACAACATATATAAGTATGGAAAAAGTTTTAAATGAATTTATGGAGGTTCCCACCCATTGAGTGAGCTGAGCTCATATAAGAAAGTATTTTTTTCTTTCAGTATCAATAACTATAAATCCTGAAAGACGAAATTACCTTTCATTGAACAAGAGAATTAGGGTATTGTTTCAAATGTACTATTACATTATACTTTCTTTTCTACAAGAGTGGCTATGAACTAAAACAGTTAAGTAGAAAAGAGACAAGTAATACTATACATTCTTCTTACATCGAAGTAACTCAGGTGTGCTATGTGTTAAGTCAAAATGAAGGTCACTTTAAGTTGTTGTTAAACACAATAAGGTGTGTCCACTTAGTTTCAGGAAGTAATGGAATAGGCAATGTCACCTTTTAAAGGGGGTGGGCAGCCAAGAAATTAATCTAAATACGCAGGACACAAGAATGAGAAGATATTCACTGTTTAGAAGCTGTTTTATATACCTGGTAAAATAGCAACCAAAGAAATGAAACTAAGCCATTTACAGCCAAGTAAACAAACATAGGTGCTGCCACCTGATGGCCAGAGTCTAAACTAAGGAAGTCATTATCAACTTTTCATAACTTTAAGACCTTGAGATACTATCTGATGGTCTGTTAAAAAGATATTGTACTGGACCCTTCGGGAAATGAAGTGATCAGCAGGAATACATTTCTCCACAGACATACTCTTTGTGTTTATCAGTGGCAGCGATTACCATTGGTTGAATTACAAAGTGAAGCCCCCCCCCTCCCCCTTTGTAACGGAACTTACCATTGGTTGAGAAGTATGGTGTAGAAAAGATGTCTGCCACCCAGGGGCTCAGAACACTCTCCACATCCTGCTGTTTATCTGGTTCATCTTTTCTAGGAAACTCTGGTAGTGGAGCTTCCTCAGAATCTGACTCCATTATTTTTACACGACGAAACAACATTGGTCGCAGCATGTTGAATTTGTTCCAATGTGAACTATGACACCACTGACTTTCACTCTACATCTAGATGACTAAATTTGGTTGGTTTTCTAGATCTGTTGCCAACAACAACATGGCCAGCAACACTGGAATAGTCTCTTCTAATTCCCAGTTTCACTTTCAACTAGATTCTCAGAGAACCACATCAGTCTCCATATTTACCATCTATAATCTCCATTTTAAAATATCTGCCTTCCCTAGTTACTTACTCACTGCTACCATGATACCTGTATTTTTGATTCTACTCAGACTACTGTGCGACATACAGTGAGGTCCCCTTTCTTCCTTGTAAGCAACTACTTTTCATCCTCAGGTATACTATATAGAGGTACTGATATATGGAGTACTGTAAATCTTGAAACGGTTCCCTCTCTCTGATACCTTATAAATCTATCAATGTACCATGGAGACACCAGGAATTTATGACTGGGTAAACACAATAATAAGGAACATAAATTATACAAATTATAATGTGTTATATATGTGACCTCCATTGTTATTAAAATGTCTAAGTATGATGACACTGTCTTAATTCAGTAATAGTGAGCCCTTCCAATGTAGTTGTGGGACAGATGATGTGAAATTTTTACAATAAAATGGGAATATGAATTTGTGATAAATCAAAATATAAAATTGCATTCAATATGTGTTAATTTATCCTTGTTGGTCTGTTTGGAAGTGAAACACTGTCATAACCATGGCACATTTTACATGGTGCGCAGAAAGTCTATCTTACCGTCCCTGTTGCTGTGTTGTTATGGTATTATATGAACCCCAAGCCTGCTGTGCTAATCCTGTAATTGCCCCTAGCTCTCACTGTCTAACGGGGCCAGACTACCCACTAAACTGTTCTGCTCTGATATAGCGGAAGACTTGACCACTTTACACGCCTATGTGCTTTTTCAGGGGTGGATCCAGAGATGTTTTCTGACAGTCTTCCAAATTATCTTTGTTGATCTGTCCTCCTTTTTAAGACCATCTTCCAACAGAAAAAATTCGATACCCATAAGTGTAAACTTGAAAATCTGACAGTCTTCCAGAGGACCTAGAAGACGGCCTCAATCCGCCATTTTTTTTTTACATTTAAGAAGACTAACTTACTGTTATTTGCATAACTTTGTAAAACTCTAATTGTGGAGAAATATTATATAATATGTAATAATACCTAACATATAACATATATGTATAATTGTGAAATGGCACCCTGTTCATTGGCCACAAGCACAGAGGTTGGGACAATTATCCAAATTTTCAGTGTCAAATATAGCTTGCTTTAAAAATTTGTTATCTGAAAGTGTTCACAAAATGAATATAATTCACAAAAGCAGACTAACTAGTCTTCGGATCAAATTTGGGGACCCATTAAAAAGTTTAATAGACACTGAATATAGGTTCCCTGCAGGGATTACACAACAAATATATTTGACCCACAGTCTAGTAAGTCCGCTGTTGTGAATGTCGCCTAAGAATAAAGACTTCAAGCATCAACGCAGCCTTGTGTGACTCAGCACAGGCAGATGTGATACAAAATTACTGCGGAACATACGATAATGATTATTTCTTTTCTTTTGGAATTTTTTTTCTGTTGCTCCAAGGAATATTCCTGCCAAGTAAGATGTTTCTACCACAAAATTTGTGCATCATTTACCCCATTTTTGGTCCTTAACACGTCTACTATGAGAAGACTGTACTTACCTATTTCTGTGGGTGTGTATTCCACCTGGAAGACATTCTTGCCAGTCTCCACAATTTTGGTCGAAATTCTCTTCCCACTTGGCGCTGAACAGAAAATAAAAGGAGAACAATATCAAGGCATTAATGAAAAATTATAATTTCTTTTTTTCCATTTGTACCTTGTACTATCTTTTTATCTGAGTAAAATGAAAGTAAATTATGTTCATTTCTGTGTGTAAGCTGTTTGACTGCCTTCTGACCCCCAAAATATTCAATATTCAAAGACAAATATTGGAATTTTAACCCAAATGTTATCATTTCTCATAAAAAGGTTTTTGATAAATTCTCATTAAAATGTAATGTAGCTACATATCAACCAGTAAGTTACTACTCTTCATCAATTTGAATACTACCTAGACGGGGATTATTATGAGGACTAAGTTTTATACGCCTATAAGAAAAACATCTATAGCTGCAGACAGTTTTAAAAGGCTTGAGTAAAAAAAAAAAAAAAGACCAAAGGGTCATTGGTACAACAGACAATAAATGTAACTTATACTGATATTACAATTATATTAAAATACAACATTCCTTCAGCCAGAACAAAACTATCATAATCATATTATGGTCTGGATTTTAAAAATCAAGTAATACCGAAAAACTTGAAATCCATCATTGAAAACAAAATAGGATACCACTGAAATAAACTGGTATTATAATCTCTACTGTCTTATGGACCAATGAACCCTTGGACCACCATGATCACAAAATCAAGCACTTGGCAGTGCAGACATTGTGGAAACCCTGCAATATCTAGCCAATGTGCAAGTTACTGGTTAGAACTACCAATTAGTCTGTCCCTTAAAGGATTAAAGATTTATTATTCAGTTTCTATAATCGAAGGTGATTCAATGTTTGAAGATAGGGTCTCTTAGAAAACAAAAGACTTCACCAACAGAAGACCCAGTAGTACAGTGTAATGAAAGCAAACAGGGCAGTTTCAATGGTGGGCAAATGGTCAAATCACTGCATTTCAAATGTCTGCTTTAAAATTTTGATTACATTTTTCTGGGTACTTTATCCTCTGGATACCTATATATGGCGTGCTAAATTTTATAATGAGCAGGTATAATAGTTGTAATAGTTTTTCATCAACTCTACTTAAATTTTTATACCAAGTGCTTATTAATTAATATACTTAGCTAAATGCTGTCATAAAGCTTTACACAGTTATTATAAATATAAATAGCACAGGTCATTTATTTTTTAAAACTAGTAAACCCTTGTTCCCCTCCCAGTAAACAAATTACTCAAATGCCCTCAGCAACAACATAAAAATTTAAACAAAAACCTCAATAACTAATACAAATGCAAACTATAGCAACTTAAATGTGTACACAAAATTAAAATAGTATCTGAATTTTTCCCTGTTTCTAGAAAAATTAATATGAAGTTTTCTAGCAGCAAAAAAACAAAAGAAATTAAATGAATCCACTTACCTGAAAGCGCTGCAACATGCATGTTTGCGTGTAGGGAGAGGTGTTACATAGGGTTTGTCGCACCGAGGCTGCCGTGAATCGCCCAGCATCATGCAGTGTGATATTGCGGTGGCGCCTGGACACTTGCAGCAATGGTGATGAAAGCATGAGGGGTGGGGGTGGGGGGTGGGGAAAAACTAGGTCATATATATACAGGGGTATATTTCCTACTATATTGTTGTTAGCAGTAAATATGTGTAATATACACACATATTACACTGTCTCTTTTTTAGGTTTCCACACCCTTTTCACATAATTTCTGTGTAACAATGAAACTATTACCAGCAACTAAGTTGTTCTCCTGTGAACTGCATGCATTTATATGGGACTAAATGTGATCTGTTGTTTACTCTTTCATTGCTGACATTCAACTCAACAGATATATCACCCCTGGGGATGGACATTCCACTCCCTGGGGACAGGCACTCCACCCCATGTTCACACAGCTCAGCCACACACCTCTCTCACAGCAGTGCACTGGTGCTCCATGCAGTGGGGTTTGTAAGGGGTAGGGAATCTCAAATACACATACACCATGAATAAAGACCAACCTTCTCATCATACTTCAGAATATGAAGTGAAGTCAGAGGTAAATGAGGTATGAACCATTGGGTGTATTGGGAGTGGAGTGGAAGGAGATAAGAGGAGTCTTTAAGTTAAACCTTTCCACCCTTTAAAAGTCTTGGAGAAAACTGAAAGTGTTAGTCCGACTTTTATTTTCAAAAACTACAAAACAGAATGGGAAACAAAATGCACTCTGTGCTATTCATAAAATCAAAATATTGAATGCCATGCTTTGTCCTCAATCATTGGTACAGAGAGAAAATGTCCCTAACCTTCAACAAACAGCAAAAGAAGAACCTGCACCTCTACCCAGTCCATCAGTGACTACCTTCAGGTCTTGAATATTAAGAGGCCTTTATTTAATGCCTGATAACAATACCTAAATATTTTTATCAAGGTCATTTCAGAAAGTTTCTGCTTCATTATGGCTTGAACATTTTTCTAGTACACCAGATTTGACAGAAGAGAAACAGATTTCCAATATATATCAGTGCATCAATTCTTCTTTTCCAGTTAGTACATGAAGTTAGTGGTTAGTATGAGTATTGATCAGTTCACAAAGCAGGAAGTTTCACCAGGGGGTCAGCTGGTCAGGGATAGACACTGCTGTCACAGATAGCTTAACTGACAGAAAACACTTCTACAGGAAGATAAGCACGTGTAGGATATAATATTAGCTTTAATGACAAAAATAATTGAGACTGAAGGTAAGGAGGCACGCTTGAAAGGGGTAATCATTATGTTACTTTTTACTGCCATTATTGTCTACCAAGTCTCATCTCTTTGCAGAATACACGATGCTGGTACAGCATAATAGACTTTTCATCAAATCAGAATGCCCAAAATATGAAAAAGATTAAAATGCAAAAGTTTTCAAACAAGGTACCGTTCTATGAATTCTGTATGAAGAAGAAATTGAAATCATGACAGCCACTTATATCTAGGATATAAGATATTTTGGGTCCTAACTTATACTGTATATGTACCAAAACCAGGGTCCTGCAGAATGCTATGTTTTCTGTCTGGACCACTGAGTGCCCAGCTCCTGGACACCAGTGTCCATCCCGTCCAGTCCCTGGACACCATCATACCCACCTAAAGGTCCCCACACACATACAGACCTCATACCTACCTGTAATGGTCACTGTGGGCTCACCACCACCCGCAGCATGGGTGGTCACTGTGAACTTAGCCGTGTGATTGACTGCTGCTGTCTTCAGTCCGTCTCCTGTGGTCATCACAGCATTGGTGTCCACTATCTCTAGCGTGTATGGAGAACCTACAGTGGACAGGGACACAGATACAGAGAGGGAGACGGAAAGGGGGGGGGGGCATTTTTCTTATTGCAACCACCGCTGTTTCTACCAGCACCACCACTACTACTACTACTACCGCAGTAACTATACTCTACTATGGTATTATACAAGTCAAGAGGGAGAAGACACAATCTAAAATTTGAGGAGAATTGGTTTTCTTAACACAGTCACTAGATCTGCTCCTGTTCCTCTGTATCCCTCATGTTAATGTAGTCACATCACACTGTTGTTACACAATCGCAAACATGGCCAAAATAAACTGATACACTTCGCTGCTTTAGGTTTTTAATAAGGGAAGCTATTAGTACAAGCAGCAGAATTTCTGTGAATGACAATCAACATAATAAATATATGTATATATAATGTACAAAAGGAGACATTGAACAGGAGATGAACAGAGGATACTGGCTACTACATACAGATCTGAACATATAAGTACATAGTTTTAGTATAAAGGCTGTTTGATATCTGCAAATTCAAATTAATGTTAATGTAGTTAATGAGGTTCCAGTTAGTATGCTTGGTTACATATTAATATTAGCAATATTGAAAGCAAGAACTGGTATCAGATAATATTTCATTCATTTTGTGACAGAAGACTGGGACCAGCACAAGAGCTCATTGGATGTTCAACTCTAGAAGTAAATATCAAAACTGAACAGGAAAAAATAGACCTAGATACAGTAACGAAGAAACTGAAGAGAGTCCACACAATACCAAGAGACCCATAGTTTTTTCAAAGAAAACCTGCTATTATTTTACCTCAATTGTACAGTGATGACAATCTGAACTATCATATATATCTCCTAAAACCTCCGATGATTGAAATGCACATTATTATCTATTAATCAGTGCATGCATATGTATTGTTTTAATATTAAATATAATACAAGTTCCATGAATTTTGAAGATGAATGCAATGCATAATATGAGCATCAGGGGCGGATTGAGGCCGTCTTCTGGGCCTGCTGAAAGACGATCAGATTTTCAAGTTTACATCGATGGGTATCTAATTTTGCCTGCCAGAAGACGGTCAAAAATGGAGGATGGATCAACAAAGATAATTTGGAAGACTGTCAGAATATATCTCTGGATCCGCCCCGAGCATCATATGCATTTCCATGGTAGCACAAATCTTAAATCCAAAATGTTTCTGCAATGTCTCTCCTGCTCTGTCTTCTCTTCAATTAGAATCTGCATGATATGCAAATGATTGATAAAAATCTCTTTGGTAGCTCCTGATAGCATCTTGGGATTAGTAGTTGGATAAAAATATAATTCTTCACTAGCTACTTCGAAAATTTGAAAGAATTTTTAATACTTAGAAATTGATCCTATTATGAAGTGATTTTCAAGGGCAGAAACGTGTTATTTCAGAGGCTTTAAAATCACATCAGTTAAAAATTATGAAATTAAAGTTTTTATATAACTATCAGAAGGGGTTTGGTCCAGTAATCTATACAAAACAGCTAAATGATCCTGCATGTGATATCACAGATTTATTAATCACCTTATTGGGACATCAAATGACAGAATGGTTTAATTATTAGATCTAGTATTATATTAAAATATCTGAACTATTAATATACATGATACCTCTCTATATTTGACAAACCATTTAGTATTATGATAATATGTTAGTCTCCTTATTAGTAAACTTTTTACAATGACTATCAAAAATATATTTAATTGTTGCCAATATATGAATAAACTGAGATACAAGCAATAAATGCTAACAAAGTGAGTAAAAACTGTAAAAGCCCTAACCATATAGTTAATAAAAATTTCCTTTTAGTTATTAAATAACAAGCATCTGTTAACAATATTAAAAAAATAAACTATATATGAACAAGGTCAGTAAAATTGTAAATAGTCCTAAACCACAGTTAATAAAAGTTTTCTAATCAAGTAACAAATGTCTGATTACATAATTTTGATTATTAAAAAATTAAGTATATATTATTATGAACAATAAGGGTAGAAATGAAGTAATTTTACATTCAATTCAATAATTTAAAAACTTCTACTCATGCAGTGGGCATGTCTAGTGTAACTGTATTTAAAAATACAACACAATTTACTTGTGTATAAACATAATATAAAAACATAAAAGAAATGCAAACAAAGAGCTAACTGCAAATAAACCATATAATTCCTAATCAAGCCATAAAAGTGTTTTTTTTTTCATTTTTTATTACATCAGAAAACGTCTCATTCTTTTTATATTGTTCAGACTGTAGAGGGGGGAGCAGTCTGGACATTCGAACTGCCTCTACAGAATATAACAAATCATTGCATAAATCTCCAATGAGCTCTTGTGTAAAACTGCTTCAGTCACAAAATGAACAGTTTGATCTTGCTAGTTAACAGCTCCATTTAAGTACTTCTAGAATATATGGAGAACCTGGCAGAGACAAAATAGTTGTATTACACACTTGTACAGTACATAGAAATAAATTACAAGGTATAACATAAGTTATGATATAAGAAATGAATACTTATATTGTTTTCCAAGAAATAGATTATATTTTAGTCAAGGGGATCTGGGATTAATATATTAATATAATAAAGTCTGACTACTTCAAGTAAAAGTCACCAGGAATAACACTTGCCCATTTCCATTAATATAATACAATACAAAAAAAAAAAAAAAAAAAAAAAAAAACTCTGATGTAATAGGAGTTACTGTAAGTTACAGTACTTGTATCATTCACAAAAAGTTCGCAGGCAGAGGTTTCAATTAAACAAAAGCTTCAATTTGTTATTTAAAATTTGCTACATTTGTCCAAAAATACATGTGACATGTTTCCAATCTGCCTTCCATTGTTCCTACGACTTAAAAGGATTTTTGCCACACATCAAAACACAGCATAGGAGTGCAGCATCAAATGGTAGGGTTAAAACTCAACAACGCACTTCAACGTAACTCCTAATCCACCTGTTATACTTATATTTTTTCGAAAAAGGGCAAGATTATTTTGATATGCATATTTGTGGTAATAAGGTCTAGGTTAATAACCCCACAGTTACTGAGTCAGGTCAGTGCTAGGGGCCAAGCTGGGGGGGGGGGGGGTACCATTGCCACATATGTTATGTTTATACTATATGTCCTGGGGTTATTCATCTCACTATAAAACATTCATTGGTAAGAAATAATTTAACAAATAAAATATCAAATAAAAGTTAAATTAAAAAAAAAATGCTTTAGTGCTATGCATTTTTAACACCATATTTATATTTGTAAAGACAGAGAATAAGTTGTCAAAAAATCCTTTCATTTGTAGAAATGTTTTTTAACTTCATTAACAGTAGAACACAGCTGAAATATTGAATAAATAAAATTTGCAATTGATTTTATATTTTTATGCACAAGTACACCGGAGCTCAGAACTAAGCCTAGGGATGCATATCTAGTAGAAATTTAACATCTTTCCTAATATAGGTGTGATTTTATTTCAGTGCATTCTGCATTCCACTACTAGGACAATATCAGAAAACTATGCTTTACTGCTGACAAAGCTTTTAATAAAATTAGGCTTTCTTCCTGCATCTTTGTCTATTCTGTTTTATAAACAAGTTATGAGTTTTTAAATTAATTTTAGGAATGATTTCTAAAACATCAAGTTATGAGTTTTTAAATTAATATTAGGGATGATTTCTAAGAAATGTTTATTTTCTAGTATTTGATTAAAATTTTTATGTACCACCGCCGTGGTTTGAGAGAAAAGTCCAAGCTGAAAATGCCGTTCTTGCCTCTTATAATATTTGTATTTTAGCAACAGTATGAATTTTCAAGTTCAAAATTGCAGATTTTTACATTGTGGCTGATACTCCTTTTAAATTTACCTTATTTTGGATATTTGTGAGTGTTATGAATAGTTTTACTTTGTTTTCATTTTACAATGCTTTACACGAGCCCCTATTTTAAACATATATCCTTTTTTTTTAAAGAAATGAAGCAAATTAGCTCAAGTCATATTTATGATTTTAAAACTTACATTGTCTATCATTCAGAAAAACTGAAATTACTTGAATACAACTGCAAAGATTATCATAGAGTACAAATAAACTGCCTACCTTTCACTTCATTTTCGTTGAAGTAGCAGCTTATCTTGTAGAGGCCAGCTCCCTCTGGTGTAAAGTGAACCTTGTGGACCTTATTGCGTTCCTCACTTAACGTCACTGGCACTAGTTTGTTGTTGTGATATATCTCACAGCGGTAGGTTCCTGTGCCGGCGTCAGTGCAGTCAGCTGGAAGACAACTGGCAACATTGATGACTTTTGTCTGGAAAGTGTTACTTGCTATAATAACAGCAACAGAAGAACAGGCTGACATTAACCCACAACAATGACAGCCAGTATGCAGCACTAATGTATCTAATTAGTATTAACAGAATATTTTAAAAATGATCATTCCATGCAAAAAAATATAAAATCAAATGGGGGAACGTACTGGTATACTGTTCAAAGAAAACAAGTAGGTATCACTGCTTATTTTATGGTGATCTACTCTATGCCTCATGAAGGTTCCTCATGTACCAGAGTATTTGAAAACCTCCTTTTGTGCAAATTTGAAAATGAATCACCTGGCCCACATCAGTCTGAATGTGAGGTTCTGGTTGCCGAGCAACCATGGGGTTGCATAGAGACAAGATCATATGACCTGCCGCTGAGAAAAGCGAGGGTCACTCACCAGTGAAGTGCATGGGTTCTCCTACTTGTCCAGCCTCCAGACCATAGATCTTGACATTACTGGTGTCAAACACCTTAATTGTTTTAGGACTGCCGCTGACGTGGTCTCCGTCATACATCACAGAAATCTGCCAGTCGCCTGGAAGCACAACCATAACATCCTGTGACCACAGCAATATCATACAATGTAATAACTGTGGTGTGTATTGTATTCCAGGCTTTATCAATACTGTACCACCTCCATGATGAACAAACTTGGGAAAAAAACATAAAAATCTCTCACTTTCTTGGAAAAAATTCTGCTGCTAAAAGGATTTTCTACCAAAGACCATTGTTTGATTCAAACAAGGATTTCCTTGTGTTAATGTTATATTGAACTATCAGCTAGACCGAAAATATACTGTATCTAAAATGGTGCAGCCCCCCCCAATCCCCCATCCTTGGACAATACACAAAAAACATGCTCTTGCAGAACACATTTTTTAAATTGGAGTCTGTAACTTAAATTGTGCATCAAAATGTCCATGTGGAAAAAAAATTCACAAAAGATATAAGCCTGTGCATAACCAGTGAACTAGAATTCAAAACATTTGCCAGTGTGATCATGCTGCAAATGGACTCTCACCAACATGATGCGGATTCTAGTATTAAGTCATAGAGTGCAGCTATTGCGCAAATTTAAATGTATTCTTTTTGCAATGACTGAATTGCAAAACAAAATTCCAACAGTATATTAATCTGTAATATGTCAACAGAATTTGGTCAATTAGACACCGATATAATGAGTGAAATAATAAAATTAAGAAAGCAAAAATAAACCATGTTTTGTAAAGCCCTGTACTTACCCCACCTAGCTGTTTATACAATTATAGCAAATTTTGTTAAATTGTGTTTATTTTGATGCAAATAATTTTTCTTGAATTTTTTCACTACTAGTTATTATACACCATTTAAAACTGTATTAACTTTCTATTCACAAGTAAGTAATAATAATATATTTATAAAGAGAATGTGTACACAGGACCGTAATAGTTCCTAAATATAATAATCTGTGCTGACAAATCATTAGATGGCAGACTTCTCAAACATTTCCAGCTATTTGCTGACTTACTATCATCATAGTACTGCCTTTTATAAGTTTATTTTGTATCATAATCAAGACTAAATTTTGATTTATTACTAATGTTTTAGTTATTATGTAATCACTTTGAAACAAAAATATTTGGTGAAACAGCAGCTGCTATTTTTCATGGGTACTGAGCCTGATGATGCTCTTGTGACAAAACAGCAAAACTTAGATGTTTCATTATTATTTTTAGTCCAACATAAGTGATTACGATCACTAAAACATCAGTAAATACAACTCCCTGGAACCATGAACAATCTAATTGATAATAAAGTATTGTTGATTAACAAATGGAGAAGCTCACCAATTTCATTAGGGACAAACTCTGCCACGTGTACTCCATTTGTCTCCTTGGTGGAGAGGTGCATAATTCGTCCACTGGGAGCTCTGGCTTCCACCTTCAGCTCCACCTGGCCTGCCTTCCTACTGTCAATCTGAAACACAGAACTAGAGACTTAGCTTTACTTTACAACCAAAGGTACACACAAAAAGTTAGGTACACACATGAAGTTATATGGGTAAATAAAATACATTCCTATTAGTAACAAACCTAAACTTCTTACATCCTAAAATTAATTATAATAGAATAAGAATGATGATAATTCATTCTGTTTTCAAAAATTATTAATTTCAAAAGATGGCAAGTTCCTGGTTTTATTCTTACTGTTTTTTACTCATGTAATTACATATTTCTGAATAACTAGTCTAAGATTTATATTTAAAAAAAATCACAAGGTAACATCCTACTGTGAGCCACAAATACATTACCGTGATAGTGTTAGGACTGCCCAGCTTACAGTGTCCTATCTCTGGCACTGTGATAGAATTTCTGTTGGCAAACACCTTGAATGTCAGTGGACAATCCTTGATGTTTTCACCCTTGCATGTCACTAACATCTGTAAATTTAAGGTTGACATAGAATTTAGCTAATTATCAAGTAAAGTAAAGTAAAGCTTTTACATGTTGTTGTCAGCCCAGGCCAGTATATGTCACTGTGGCCTGACAGGCTGCCACACGAATGAAACACAGAACAACTGTCATAGTACAATCACAAGTGTAATGTTACCTTAGAATATCTACAATAATCAACACAATAATCCTTATACAGGGCTTATTAAATCTATTGAAAGGCGAAACATATATTATTTTAAAATTGTATCTTTTAGGAACTACAGAACAAAAGAGTGAACTACTGGACCAACAAACTTTGATGTAAATGCCCCTCCCCCACCCCACTAGTCTAGGTAACTTGTACTTACACTGTGTTGTCCTATCTCTGAGGGTGTAAAGGTCCCCTCCCCTACCATGCCATTCCACGTCACCTCTGTGGGGAGTTTGCCACTAGGACCCTGCACCTCTGTGGTCACGTCACTGAAGTTCACATCATCTGACAGAATCTCCAGCTTATACTTGGTCTAAAACAAGAGGAGATATGTATTTATAGGTTGAAGGCAAATAATTTACTGAGGTGGTGGTTACAATTACTTAAATCTAGAGTGGTCTGTCAAGACTTACCAATAGTTTTCTTTTTCGTGCATTTACAACAGCTTCTCTAATGACCACATATTCGTGAATTGTTCCTAGGGAATATTTTCTTGTTTAAGTTAAAAGTACTTAAGAATCACAAGTAAATCATTTGATTTGTCCATGTTTTCTTTCCCTAATGCTTTTTGCCAGCAGACTTACAGGTTTTCCCACACACGCCAGCTTCAGGTCTGTCTTGATGGTCACTTTCTCGTCATTGTTCATGGCAACTGGTTTAAGCTCAGATAATCGGGCAGCATACGCCATGACTCCGAGATGTTCCACTTCTGGGTCTGTCATCTCTTCTGCCTTCAGGACAGGCTCAACACCAAGTCTTTTAGCAGCATCTATGCCTGCAATTCACATAATTTTAACATGAGTACAAATACAGAATACAGATATTAAAATCATGAGATCAAATCTTCACATTTATTCTTCACATTAAATTTTTCACCACTACCACACTGTCTCACTAACTTAATACATGTAAGTTTGAATGAAATTCTTGTTATAGTATAACATAAATGCCAAATAACCCATTCCAATGTTTTACACATAATAAAAGTGACATAATGACAACCAGTATCACTGAGAGTGCCAGTGTCTTGACATTCTAGTGAGTGTCACATGGTCCTACCTTTCTGTGTCAGTGTCACATGGTCTTACCTTTCTGTGTCAGTGTCACATGGTCTTACCTTTCTGTGTCAGTGTCACACTGTCATCGTCACCTCCAGGTACCTGTCCCCCAGCGGCTGTCACAATCTTACAGAGAACACTGCCATCTGCCCAGTCCGACTGAAAACACAGGGAACAAACAGATCTGAATTGCAGCTATTTAATCTAATATCTGACAAAAATGGAATTATACATTCTACAACTCAGGGGTTACCTGTAGTGAAATCATTCATAAAATTCTAAGATACCCATGTCTATGGAAATATAGGAAACATTTATACATGCATACACAACATCAGTGTCCTAGTAATAGCAGAAGCCCTTTATTTGTAATAATAATAATAATAATAATAATAATAATAATAATAATTTTTATTATTATTATAACTGTTACAATAATATTTTCACTTAAGTTTGAAATGTTCAATTGAGTTTACATAAAAGCAAATACCTAAGAACACAATTACCAAGATATGTAAAAATCAAAAATTATTTAGAAAGATTAAGATTTTTGACAAAAAAGCCAAATTCTAACATAAAACCAATTAAACAAAAGACAAATCTTAATTAAATTTAAAAAGATATGTTTTTCACTTCTTTTAAACTTTGTTGGTATGAAACAAGTAGTTTTCCTGTCAGTATTACCTGGAAGTTGTTGACCAGCTGGCTGCCGACCAGTTTGTTGGTGTCTCTCAGCGTGGCGTGATACCCTGGAGAATCTACCATCATAAAGTACGACAGGTACGTCATGCCAGACAGGTCATCCAGGTCAGGGTTAGCCAGATCTTCAGGGCGTAACACCATGGGGATTCCAAACTCTTTCTTGGCCACATCCATAGCATTGCGACAATTCTCAAGGCTGAAAATAGTATTATATAAATGAAACCAATAATTCACTGAACAGTAATCCAAATCATGTTGCTTTTTCTCAAAAGGACATTTTTAAAACTATTTTTAGACATGTCATTCAGCAAAGGTGAATTTTGTTTTATTTGCTTGAACAGGTATACATGTGCATTTTCATCACTGAATAATGCCTTCTTTTAAAAAATTCTTTCTTATTGAAATAACAAAAACATTATTAGAAGGGGCATTTTTATAATAAGAGCAGATCCAATTGTTGTAATTCTGGACAAGTCTCAACCTATGATTGTTGAAAATCACCTCTCTACAATTCTAAGGGAAAATGTCTTTTACTCTTTCTTTGAAATCAATCTTTGAGCAAATGATCAATCACATTTGAACTGCATCAACATACAGTCAAACAAAAACAATTTGATCCTTCTGAATGTATTTTTTCTAGTCTGGAATGTAAAAGCAGTGTGATACAATATCCCATAATATGTGTTCACTGTTCCACAACGGCAGTCTTGCATTTCAATTGGAGTCCTGCTGACCTAGGCTTCACGGGGTACATTCACAATATAACTACTGTTCTAGGTATATCAATCCAAATCTGCGGGGACTCTTGCTGAATGCAGTCAGATGAACTGAATGGCACCTTCTTGAGCAGCACACAGAAGTTAATCCCCCCTTAGCTACTTGAGGAGGCCTTATTCAGTTAATCTGGTAGCATTCAGTGAGAGTTCCCATAGAGCTGGATAGATCTACCTTGAACAATAGCTTCATTGTGAACGCACCCTTACAGTCCACAGACTTTATGGCTATTATATGGCCATGACAAAAAGCAAGCTAGGGATCTGTAACTAAAATTATGCTGGGTCAAATTTAAACAACATTAGGGACAAGCCTTGTATATACGCAAGGTTGAAACTTTCCAAAGATGGGTAAATTTTCCTAAGGTTTATAACATAAGAGGACAGCTTTTTAGAAACTGAGCTGGGACATGTTTACCTTACAAAACTTTTCAAAACAGCTGGGCAGCTTTTTCAGCAGGTTAACAAACTGGTTTGACATTGAAAAGGAAACCATGATAGTATCTGTTAAGAATTCTCTCAGACTATTCTTACATCAGCACAAAAGGTTAAGACAGTACAGCCTTCCGCAGGTGACAAATATCATTAAATGCATGTACCTTTTAGAAATGCAGTTATTTCTAGAGGCAACATGACATGTAACCCATTTATCAAAGTATTAAGAACAGGATGGGAAATCTATAAAGGCATTAAGGCTATGTCCTTAATGGCAAGCTGCAAGAAATGGCAATTTTTTTTTATTATAAAAGCCAGTTTTTGTATACAAAAATTACGGGTGCTAAGATTTTCATTTGATTACCTAAAGATCCTTGATACTGCAGATGAACAGAAAACAATTAAATGAGGCATTCATTTAGAAAACTACCTGGAGTGATGCCAGTGGTTACATTTTAAAATGAAAATTTACATCAGTAATCATATTTAAACCAATCAACTCCTGACTGTGTCAACCCTGTAGCCATAAGGCCTGACCTTGGGGACAAGTGACCTGCCGTGACACCTGTCACCTCTCTGTGCTACAGGACATCTTATTGTCACCTCTCCATGCTACAGGACATATTACTGTCACCTTTCTGTGTCTACTCTCCCGTGACAACTTAACTCACACAGTGAAATCTTTGTTGTCACTTCTTTAGGTATAGAATAAAGGAAAATGGTAAGAAAAATCCCAGTAAAAACATAAACTATGCAATATTCCAGACACCAGTGGAAGAGAAAATATCTGCACAATATATACTAAATTAAAGGTAAACTGAGATCTTTAACTATGAATATCAAATCTTCACACTGTGGGTAAATCAACTAAATCATCTTTTGGAATTATATCAATCACATGTGTCATTTTCCAAGATGTATTCATTCTTCACCTTTCTCTTTTATTTGTAAAACATACAGTGGAGAAGAGAGACTGGCAGTAACCAGACAATTAGAGTCAGGTGTGTTCTTCTAGCTAATGAACAGTCACCTAGTAAGCTTATTACCATCTATAGGCAGTAGGAGGTTTTTCAAGAGCCTTTACCCTTCAGCTATTTCTCATTTTAACCCTAAATATTAATTTAAAAGTCTTTTAAATATGCTAATTGGAAAAACAGTTTATTTTCACATTTTAAACTTAAATGATTTTATATAACCTCTGAATTTTAATTCATTTCTCTTTGTAATACACTTAATAATCATTATTTTACTTTCATATCTTTAGCCTGAATGATTTTATATTTCACTTTTAAGAGCTGCAACAGAAACCAATTTCTGAATGATGTATATTGTGTATACATATACAAAATATCCCCATCATTTACAGTGGAGAAATTTTAGTACCTCTTTGTTAGCCCAAGGTATTAAATCCAGGGTCATTAATGGTAATGGGCATAAATCACGTTTCATTCACCCAAGCATCCAGAATATGTCTCCCCTTTGTACCATATAGCTTTTATCAAACAACAGGGTCAAGACATCTAATTACAATGTAGTAGTAAATACTTCACTCAAAAATAAAATCCCCATTCCAATGATTAAACATTATGTTATAAATAACAAGCTGGCTATGTAAAATGTATGGCAACAAACTTTCTCCAAATCCTGCTTTTGTACAAAGGATTTCAAATATAAGGCAGCTGGGTATAATATTATTGGGAAGCACGGATTCAAACTATGGCAACAAAATCACAATTATTATTATCAATTAATTTTTTACCACCTGCAACATAGTGATGAGATGTAGGACTTTTAAAATTCATAAAAATAATCGTATATATATTCACATGCCATTTAGGCCATACCAACACCATGATAACATTGCTATTAGATGCTGCACAATATAATATTTAATTAAACTCTGGTAACCTGCTCAATATCTATCATAATCATAAGCATAACATGTTGTTTCATATCAATATATAGAGTGTGATTCATCCTATCAAAAACAAACTTTCAATTGTTTTAAAAAGCAGTTATTATACCAAATCTGCAGTGGATTGGCAGCAGAATTATCTGACTAACACCCCATTTCCATAGATTTTTAGATCAATCTATCCCTGTGGGGAGTCTCACTAGATTACTGTCAGCTTGGCCGGCTTAAGCGTCTGTCCCGCCTACTAAAAGCTGTAAGGGGGTATTTAACTATGGTGCCCGCTCGGCTGACTGCAATTTAGCGTGAACCCCCAGGGAGTTAGGTCGATCAAAATCTCTGGGAAAGCACCCTAAGGCTCATTCCCAATAAAACTATTGGTCTGTATAGATCAATCCAACTCTGTTGGGGTCTTGCTGAATGCAATCAGATTAACATGCCACCTCTTGTTTCCAACGTACTTGTATAATCACCAGGATTTTTGTATTCTATCCATTGCCAAGAAGAAGCATGTTAATCTCTTTATCTGGTTGCATTCAGCAAGAGTCCTGTGGACTTCGATTGACCTCCCTAGGCCAACAGTTTCATTGAGAACGAGCCCCAAGTCAACAGATTAAAACTTTTCAATTGAACTGATACAATGAATCTCTGCCCTACTGACATGGATTTCCTAGCAAACGGACCACTTCAGCACCTGGTTGTCATGGCTGACCTGTAGCTGCCATTTGCCAAGCATGAGGGGGGTTTGAAGCTGACATCACATATGCTTTAGTCTAGATACACTGTACATTTCTCCACTTTACACAGCGGGTTGTCTAGTTCAATTATAAAGCTTCAATTTTATCTTGACAATGTGAAAAATACTCCCCAATGAAAACATATAGAGAAATTAATGATAACTGTCCTTTACTTTGGGGAATGTGGCATTTGTTAATTTTGAATTATTGATAAATGTATTATTATAATCGGGACTGATAAAACTGATAGACAAAAGTGGAGAAGTTTACAGATACAATATTCAAACTACAAATTGATGTTGATATATATATATATATATATATATATATAGTAACATATACTGGTATACCGTATTTGGTAAGCTCTATCCTCATCAGACCTGACAGGAAAAAACATTGAAAATATACAAATGCTATAATGGCTTTTATTATTAGTGCATATTTACATTTAAATTAAAACACACCCATTTCACAACAAAATATAGTTCAATCAGTTCAACACTCTAACACAACCAGTCCACATAACAACACTAACACAACCAGTCCATAACAACACAACCAAGCCACAACAACATCAACACACTAACACAACCAGTCCACATAACAACACTAACACAACCAGTCCATAACAACACAACCAATCCACAAAAACATCAACACACTAACACAACCAGTCATTAATAACATTAACACAACCAGTCCACATCAACATCAACACACTAACACAACCAGTCATTAACAACAAAGTAATGTTCAGTTCTTGCTCTCCATATTCTGCACTCCACATATCAGTGTGGTTTACATTAGATGCCTGGTCATTTCTGGCCCTGATACAGACTGGGTGGATACAGCCAAGCTGCTTTATGAGGCACTAAAATCTAGCATATGAACAATATCTTTCACTGCGAGGCCAGGAACTTTACACCTGATTCAATCCCTATGTACCAAGTGCCAACAGCTAGGAGACAGCAGGTACTGTTAAGTGTTTATGAAGGACTGGTATTAGTCCCCAGACAGGGTGAACCCATGTTCTCCTGCTCCAAGGAAGGACACTATGACCACAAGGCCATCTGGCTAACAACATTGTAACACATCAACATATTCAAAGTTGATGATAAAACGGTCTATAAAAAAAAAGTCAAGGCTGTTAACACTAGACTGCTTGTTATGTATGACAGTCCTCTTCCTACTGATGGCAAGGGAAGTTTGGATACAATATCTATCTCTAGAAAAAATGGTGAAGTTTTCAAGTCATTACTCAAGTTTACTGAACATATAATTCAAGTTTTAAGAATAAAATAGTGCTACACCTGACAGACATAATATCCTGTTTTCTTTTCTTGTGTGATATGCTCAATCTCAGAGTCTACAGACATCAAGATATCATGACAGAGAGACATCAATAAACTAGAGGTGTTATAACTTGTCATCTTGTTATCCATTTATCAAAAACATAAAAAAAGGCTATAAACTTAGCTTTCAGCCATATTCCAGGTTTGTGGTATAAATGAAGTAAATGTTTAACATTACTGTATAACCAGAGATGGGAACAGAATATGTTTTGAAAGGAGGAAAATCTCATGCACTTTAATTTTTCTCATTTTCCTTTTTAGAACCATTTTAAGTTTTTTTTTTCAGAAAAAAAAAGGAAGAGAAAAGCAAGATACAATCCTTTATAACATACCCTATGACGTGTGTTCATTTTTATTCATTTCACTGACAGTGATCCTTATGATTTAGAAATATATTATAGGCACCTGTTCCTGACATGATGGTACTGTAGGTGCTACTATCAGTGCCTGACAATCAGTGTGTATAATATTCAGCCTTTGCACTTTGTCTTCTTTCTTTGCAGTTATTTTTGACAGACTTTGTAAAAAATACAAATGATATATAAACACAGTCTCATCTAGTCCATGGGGCAGGGCATTTGTACACCACCATAATTAGAAGTCACATTTCATATATTCCCTCTGGCAATGCAGCAACTGTAAAAACTAGGAGTTCTATCATTGTTTTATGACTTGATAACAGTGTAGTCTGTGACCCCCAAACTGATAACTGATGGCAAAGATCATGTCATTTGCTGCTGAGGTTAACCACAGCAAAATAGCATTTATTAATGTGGACAAAGCATGACTTTGGTACACCAGCTGACAGGACTTTCTCTTGGTTTACCATTAGATAGTCATATCCTGGATGAGAAAGAGGGAAAAATTACACCTGTGGTGTTTTATGTGAAAATAAACTGTGTCAAACTGAACTATAATGGGACATTCAGATTTTAATTTCTCCAAAAAGAAAAATACTGCTATAATATATATGCATTAAAAACAAACCATCTTATTCCATACCACCAAAGCTTTGCCCATTACTTGCTGTAAAATAAGACAAAAACTTTTGACCAAGACACAAACAGTACTGTAATAATGGTGGCCTGATAACATATTTCTTTAACAAAGCATATGAGAAAATGTAGCCGGTCCATTCTTAATCCCACTTTCATATATTAACATATAACATATAGGAACTTTTCTTACAGAAACAAATATTATATATTCTAAATAAATCAATCAAACACAAAGAAATGATCTCATTTTGAATGCGATTTCAATTTACAAAATGCAAAATCAAAACTCTATGCCTAATAATTCAATAAAACAAATGAACAACCACAGTTCTATTAAAGAAGGTTATTTTCTCTGTGTGTGTATCATTTGGGTGGACACCTGTTCTAGTGATATAACATATCTATCTTGTTATCAAAGTGAACCAACACCATGTCACAGTATCACATCAGTATGCACGCCACTCCATAGCTGCCAGGGTTGACTGACTACCTCACAATGTCTTCACTACAATACCAGCTCTACAGTGAAGAGCAGGAATGCTTCACCTTCGAAACATATTACTTCATCCACTGATTATTCACTTAATGCTTCACAAAATTCATGACAAACAGAAGTGTAATGCTACATATAAAATTACACATAATGACTCAAACTAAACCTTAGTTTGTATCAAGGCTCATAGCTATCTTGTTATGATTGTTAACACACTGTCACAATTAATACACTGCCAAATATCATATACTGTCACATCTAATGCATTTTCTCATCTAATGCACTGCCACATGTAACACATTGTCTCACCTAACACACTTTCACATCTATTACACTGCTACATCTAATACAATGTCATGCCTAGTAAATTTAACAACACATTTAAAACATTGTCACACCTAGCACATTCAATAACACATTTAACACACTGTCACACGTAGCACATTTAATAACACATTTAACACACTGTCACATGTAGCACATTCAATAACACATTTAACACACTGTCACATGTAGCACATTTAATAACACATTTAACACACTGTCACATGTAGCACATTCAATAACACATTTAACACACTGTCACACCTAGCACATTTAATAACACATTTAACACACTGTCACACCTAGCACATTCAATAACACATTTAACATACTGTCCCACCTAGCACATTTAAAAACACATTTAACACACTGTCATATGTAGCACATTTAATAACACATTTAACACACTGTAACACCAAGCACACTCATCACAGCAGACCACCTACCCCTCATAGCGCGGCAGGTTCCTCCAGTTTGTGAACAGTCCTGGTTTACAATACTCCAGCAATGCACTGGAAAGAGAAAGATCCAGACTTATTTCACTTATCATAATCATTATTATTACATTTACAGTCACCATAAAATTCTTTTTGACAAGAGGACTTCAGTTAAACTGTTTTTCAGCAAGTTAAAGAATAACTTTGTTTAGGTGTTATGATTGCAGTATCATTAAAAAAACAAAACAAAACAAAAAAAAATTAACATGGAAGTTGAAGATCGACTGAGGTCCTTGTTAACATTTACAAAAGAGACACCCTAGTACATTAAGATATCCGTTTGATTTATCTGCTATCAATGCCTAGAACAGCTCACTGAATAACAACAACACAAAATAACAGTGCCTAGCTTACTAAATAACCAAACATATAAGAGCAAAACATCTCAACGGGTCTTACAAAACATGTGAGTAAATGNAACAAAGCATATGAGAAAATGTAGCCGGTCCATTCTTAATCCCACTTTCATATATTAACATATAACATATAGGAACTTTTCTTACAGAAACAAATATTATATCTTTTTAAATAAATCAATCAAACACAAAGAAATGATCTCATTTTGAATGCGATTTCAATTTACAAAATGCAAAATCAAAACTCTATGCCTAATAATTCAATAAAACAAATGAACAACCACAGTTCTATTAAAGAAGGTTATTTTCTCTCTGTGTGTATCATTTGGGTGGACACCTGTTCTAGTGATATAACATATCTATCTTGTTATCAAAGTGAACCAACACCATGTCACAGTATCACATCAGTATGCACCCCACTCCATAGCTGCCAGGGTTGACTGACTACCTCACAATGTCTTCACTACAATACCAGCTCTACAGTGAAGAGCAAGAATGCTTCACCTTCCAACCATATTACTTCATCCACTGATTATTCGCTTAATGCTTCACAAAATTCATGACAAACAGAAGTGTAATGCTACATACAAAATTACACACAATGACTCAAACTAAACCTTAGTTTGCATCAAGGCTCATAGCTATCTTGTTATGATTGTTAACACACTGTCACAATTAATACACTGCCAAATATCACATACTGTCATATCTAATGCATTTTCTCATCTAATGCACTGCCACATGTAACACATTGTCTCAGCTAACACACTTTCACATCTATTACACTGCTACATCTAATACAATGTCATGCCTAGCAAATTTAACAACACATTTAAAACACTGTCACACCTAGCACATTCAATAACACATTTAACACACTGTCACACATAACACATTTAACACACTGTCACACATAGCACATTTAATAACACATTTAACACACTGTCACATGTAGCACATTCAATAACACATTTAACACACTGTCACACCTAGCACATTTAATAACACATTTAACACACTGTCACACCTAGCACATTCAATAACACATTTAACATACTGTCCCACCTAGCACATTTAAAAACACATTTAACACACTGTCATATGTAGCACATTTAATAACACATTTAACACACTGTAACACCAAGCACACTCATCACAGCAGACCACCTACCCCTCATAGCGCGGCAGGTTCCTCCAGTTTGTGAACAGTCCTGGTTTACAATACTCCAGCAATGCACTGGAAAGAGAAAGATCCAGACTTATTTCACTTATCATAATCATTATTATTACATTTACAGTCACCATAAAATTCTTTTTGACAAGAGGACTTCAGTTAAACTGTTTTTCAGCAAGTTAAAGAATAACTTTGTTTAGGTGTTATGATTGCAGTATCATTAAAAAAACAAAACAAAACAAAAAAAAATTAACATGGAAGTTGAAGATCGACTGAGGTCCTTGTTAACATTTACAAAAGAGACACCCTAGTACATTAAGATATCCGTTTGATTTATCTGCTATCAATGCCTAGAACAGCTCACTGAATAACAACAACACAAAATAACAGTGCCTAGCTTACTGAATAACCAAACATATAAGAGCAAAACATCTCAACGGGTCTTACAAAACATGTGAGTAAATGTTTTTTCAAACTAAGCTCCTCTTTATATCAAAACCTGAACAAGGTACGTGACAGTCTATTGTCCATAGGATGTTAACAATAACCCTTCTCAAGCTCCACATATATTTCTACTGTCTCACAGTTCTTCGTGACAGGGGAATATTGAAAACTTAAAGCTGGGTTGCCATAAACTCCACAACCATGCGATCAATCTAAACCCATTCAATGCATGCCGACTTGTTCTTCACAAAGTCTCACAAATATATAAGATCTAGAATAAATAATGAAGATATTTATGACCCGAACAGCACCCCTACCTGCTTAAGAGTTGCCTTAATTTCATTCAATCTTTAATTCAAAACTGGTCGAATTGAGACGAGATTTAATTACTGTGCCCCTGCAGGGACAATGTGTTCGGAGGCGTGAAAGAGGCAGAGAGACCATTGCAGGATTAAGCCGTCTTCCTTTCATGTAGGTCCACCATATTTAGGCCGTGGACCAGCTAGCACTCAGCATTCTGAATGACCCCAAAGTAAATCTCATATGATATACAACTTAAAAAGCTGCAAAACAGAATTATCAGGAGAATGTTTGCTTGTTCATGATATCATATCTGAAGAACTATAAAAACTTCACAATGTATGGAGACGCACTTATAACACACGCACTTAAGCTAAATGATAAGTGAGAAAATGTGTTTACTTTAAATTTGTAATCAAATATATATATACTTTGAACTGCCATTTCAGTTGGAAATATTGCACAATTTGACTAGGCCTCTGATTTTCTTTTGCAGAATTATTCTCTGGTTATTGTGGGTCATATAGCTTTCCTTAAAATTCTGACAAGTTAATGTAACAGTACAGTGCATTCCCTTCTTGTAAAACTTTTTGGAATTTTAGGGAAAAAAGATAAATTGATTTAGAAACAGCATAGTATTACCTCCTGTCTATTTATGCCACTATTTCGCAGGTAAACTGTTATCTTGGGGGCTGGGGGGGGGGGGGGGAGTTAATTGCAAAGGCAATGGAATCCATGTCATATTCTTTCCTGTTGCAATTGAAGTTCAACAGTAAAGTTGCTTAAGACATTCACTTTCAATATTTCTCCAGGCCAAGTAAAAAATAAAAATGGAGAATTATAATTGTAGTATCTGCCTGAGATCTAAATAAATACATTTAACCTGCTTCCTAAAGGTATATGTCTGTCTTTAACTTCAGAAACACTTTTCACAAACAAGCATGAAAAAATGGTGTTCTATGACTGGGTTCCCATATTTAGATCCATCCATCTGGATCGATCTAACTCCCTGGGGGTTCACGCTAAATTGCTATCAGCTCAAGAGGCTTAAATGTCTGTCACGCCTACCAAATCACCTAGGGTTAAAGATGATTACCCCCTAACAGCTTTTACTAGGCGTGTGAGACATTTAAGCCGGTCAAGTTGACAGCAATTTAGTGAGACTCCCCAGGGAGATAGATCGATCCAAATATCTGTGGCAATGGTCCCTTAACTAGCTTTTTTCATGACAGCTACTTCCCCTTTTATAACCCCAAACAACATACGTCATATGTATACATGATCCTACCAAACACAAATACACTCTGCTTACACAAAAAATTCTATTTATCACATTCTATACATTGTTCAAGTTACCTTTCAGTAAGACCATACATTTTAAGAACATACTCCATCAACAAGATGACTTCTCACATTAATGGTTTATATAACACCAATTCAATTCCCAGTGTATGTATGTACGTACTGTACACCTAGAATGTCCCTCCCCTAACTAATAGACTTCATTTCTGTATTAGTGTGACAGTATTATACATATACTGTCACACTTTTCTGTGGCCTGTCACTTAACTCTAGCTCAAGTTTTTTCACATTACAAGCTTTACACTTTGCTTTGTATGACCCCCTCACCTAAAAAAATTAAATCAATTATTCTGTGGAAAGATATTCATTACAAATGAGATTGCTCTCCACCCAGTTGTTTGTCTGTTGCCACGCCCTGTTTATGCTTACTGTCACTGTGATATATAGCTGACTCGAGCTAGTCCGTAAGTCCCTAATATTTTATCATTTATTGTAAACATATCACAAGGCAAATCATTGCTGAGGTGTCATCCTTGCTGTTATCTATATCCTATACAAACAGAACAGTAACGTTACTGTTATTTAGATCAACTTGTTGCAGCTTTTCTCCTTTACTCTTTATATCATATTCTCTGAAGTTTGCAAAAAATTGGGATTGCTGAGCATGTGAGCTACCCTCTACCAGTTACGCCTGTGACAATTTTTCTATTGTTCTGCACAAATTTTTACATGGGATTAATTTCACCAACCAGCCAGCTTCTAGTACGGAGTAGATGCAAGCTTTGTATACAATATGATGGGGACAATGAGGGCCAATATGGCTACCCTCACCTAGCTGTACATATTTGAATAAGAGCTGATCTTTGTTAGCAAAAAGTAATCCTCTTATTATTTCATGCAAGATGCCAGCTCACATTCACCAGGCCTCATTACAAATGTCTGCATTACCATAAGAATGGAATGTATCATTCTTTGTGTAATACCACATTTATTACTGTACTGATCATAGGAGATAGATACGTAAAGACATATTTACAATCTAAAGATAATGTTTTAAAGGTGACACACCCATTATTTCGCAAGTAGGCTCATTTTTTATTGTTTGCCACACCCTTTTCTTTCTACCTTATAGGGTGACTTGTTGGTCAAGACTTTACTAACTTTCAACTGGTTAAAATATCAATGGCATGCGGAGAAAGAGTTGTTTAATCTATCTTTATAAAAATGTGTCATTTTATTGGGCTTTCCCCCAATTTTCACTGTTACAGATCAATACACTGCTGTTCCTCTTCAACCCACTTTTGAATAACAAGCACAATTTTTTTTCTACTACTAAATTATGGATCGTAGACAAAATATTAAAATGTACAGTACTGCAGGAATAACAAATGAGGCCTTCACAATTTGAAGGGTTTTATTTTAATGTAGAGAAAATATCCATTACTTCTGTTGGATCTAAATTCAATTTTTAATCACATATTGGGTGACTCATAAAAAATGTTACTAATTTCAAAATTCAATACTTACTTCAACAGTTTACAAGCTTTTGAATTGAAATTTTGTACAGATTTTTGACACATTATTGATAATTGGTCAACCCTGAAGTATCAGTTCAAAAACACATCAACAGGTGTCAAAACTGCCAGACACTGGCATCCTTCGGAAGTCGCATAGACTGGCTTTGCATTTTTTTACTTTTGATTTTCATTTTTTTAATGGGCCATAACTAAGAAAGGAATAGTGGAGAAATTTTAAGCATTTATTAAAAACAATTTTTTGACAACATTTCACTGCAATATATTTGAAACTCTTGAAGTAATTGAACTTTGAAATTGTTAATTTTTTTAGCCGCCTATATACAGGTTGAAAGGCTGATATTGGTGATTTTGACCAAGTGATGACATTCTTTATACATGAAACTAATTTCACTAGTTTAATTGACTAAATAAAAAAAAAATTTCACATTTTGGGTTTTAGATAACATATTTATATTTATATACAACATTCATTAAAAATATATTGATAAATATGTACAGGAGAAAAAATAAGCAGAAACGCAATTTCCAAACCTTAAAGCTATTCCATCATTCCAATCTGAAGAAAAGTTGCGAATGTTGCATTCTGGGATGACTGCCTGTAACCATGACAACATGAGCTTCTTTGGTGGAAACTTGGTCTTTCCAATCTGATATCTGAGGATGAGGTGCCATATCAGGCCTAGGATCAACTTGAGGTTGCCGTTTACTATATCTTCACTACCTGCAAATANTAATGGGCCATAACTAAGAAAGGAATAGTGGAGAAATTTTAAGCATTTATTAAAAACTATTTTTTGACAACATTTCACTGCAATATATTTGAAACTCTTGAAGTAATTGAACTTTGAAATTGTTAATTTTTTTAGCCGCCTATATACAGGTTGAAAGGCTGATATTGGTGATTTTGACCAAGTGATGACATTCTTTATACATGAAACTAATTTCACTAGTTTAATTGACTAAATAAAAAAAAAATTCACATTTTGGGTTTTAGATAACATATTTATATTTATATACAACATTCATTAAAAATATATTGATAAATATGTATAGGAGAAAAAATAAGTAGAAACGCAATTTCCAAACCTTAAAGCTATTCCATCATTCCAATCTGAAGAAAAGTTGCGAATGTTGCATTCTGGGATAACTGCCTGTAACCATGCCAACATGAGCTTCTTTGGTGGAAACTTGGTCTTTCCAATCTGATATCTGAGGATGAGGTGCCATATCAGGCCTAGGATCAACTTGAGGTTGCCATTCACTATATCTTCACTGCCTGCAAATAGCAGTACCATAATTAACAACAGCAGTATCATCATGAACAACGGTAATATCATCATGAACAACAGCAGTATCATCATGAACAATAGCACTATCATCATGAACAACGGTAATATCATCATGAACAACAGCAGTATCATCATGAACAATAGCAGTATCATCATTAACAACAGCAGTATCATCATTAACAACAGTAGTACAATCAAGAACAATAGTAGTATCATCATTAACAACAGCAGTACCATCATGAACAATAGCAGTAACATCATGAACAACAGCAGTACCATCATGAACAATAGCAGTATCATTATTAACAACAGCAGTATCATCATTAGCAATAACAGTATCATCATTAGCAATAGCAGCAGACAGTGGTGAAGTCAATAATAATAATAATAATAATAATAATAATAATTTATTCAGCTAATATATTTATATGTAAAATATACATCAGTAATTAGATTCTGTCTGAGTTCTTAAAAGTTTATATAAGAGTGAAATAATAATTATAGTTATAACAAAATATAAATCATCAAGTCTGAGGTATAAAAATAAAATTATAAAGTGTTTTAAGAATATTATTAGAATTAAAATCAAAAGTTTACACAAGAAATGGCCACAGGATAAAAACTTTTTTAGAACCTCTGAATGCCTTTAAAAGTTAAAAGAATAGCATGGACGACATGCTGCACTACAAGGACACAGTGACATATGCTAAAAGATGAAACATATAGCTCTCTTTCAATGTTGAACCACTGGGAAGGGGGTGGGACTGTACTTGTATACCCCACGGAAAAATTGGTTGGTTACTTCAAGGAGTTATAACTCCTTGGTTACTTTCAGTGATATTGTGTGTAAATTGCAAACCTCAACCTCCCCCCTTCCCGGAATCCCCGATTCCACTTTTACAACATCAGGCCTACCCAACTACCAGACTCGCAATACACAGTATCATACCCTGAACAAATTTTGAGTGGTGATGCAATGCTTTTCAACCCCGCTGAGAATCGTCACTATCACATCGCGTACTAGGCAAGAGCGGTGTCGATATTGTGTAATGCGATCTGACACACACCTTGAAAATGGGTAGTGTGGTCTGATCTACTGGTGAATTCAGGATCATTCGGTGCCGAGTCTGGTAGTTGGGTAGGCCTGAACATCAAAATTACTATTTCTTCATAACATTTTCATTCTACTGGTTAAATATCCTAATAAAGCACACAATAAACATGTTACACTGTACATTCTTCGGGGATATCAACCAGGAAGCAAACTGTTGAAGTGATGAAAACAAAATCATAAATTAACGTTTTCACCATACTCCTCAATTAATATTTCACCAGGTGTAATACTGTCACAGAAATTAAAATGTTTTGGCAATTTTTTTAAAACAATTTTTCTTTCCTTCAACTGCTCCCCTTCCCTACCACCACCACCCAAGAATCACAATATGAAAGCAAAAAAGTCACTTTTCTATTGTTACATCTTCAAAATAATGTTCAAAATGTTATGTTGTTTAAAGGGAGTATTTTACTTTGCTGCATTTTCCCATATCACACTGAAGACTTGAATACAGAAGCTAAACAAGTGTCAAACCAAAAGACACTTCATGAGATCATGCAAGTTTTTGACAAGTTTTTCTTTTCAATGACATAAAGTCAACTGACTGAATATTTAGAAATGATTTCAGCCAACATTATCCATGAGAGTACTAGCAATGAAATATTTCAGTGTAAAGCAGGGAAAAAATAAAGATCCAAAGAAGTATAATAGTAAAGCCAGCTGTGTGGATTCTTTCAATGGTGTAAATACCAGTCCCATGCCTTGGCTATCATTTTACCTTACTACTGTATGTATATAATGCATGACATACCCAGCACACACAGGCTGGCCCTATACTTGTCTATATGCAGGACAGGCTGGTCACATATATCTCTTGTTTACTGCAGCAATACCACAGCACCGCACAATTAATTAAGGATAAATCAGTCCCAGAGGGCCAAATGATGGAACATTTGCATGCTGTGATGGGGGGCAGACATTAATTATTGATAGATTTCTAGTAATTGTTTCCGTCTCCAAGGACCATAGCTAGGGGAGGGGTGTCTGGAAAGTATGTAGAGTCCAACTTGGAGAAAGTGTCAGCAAATATAAATATTCTTCTCTATCTCAGCACCTAAGGCATATTTTAATGATTTTACTGAAACCAAGATAAAACCACACCAGAGATGATGCATTGCTGTATAATGACAATTACGTCTTCCACTTGTTTTTGTTGTATTGGCTATTCTTTCCACTCTGAGTGTGCATAAAATTATGTCTAATATAAGTGGATCGTAAATTAAAAACACATGAGGATTTAAAGATCATTTTTAAAATGTCAGCATTCAGAAAACTGACTCAAACTTAATCATAATATCTAAAAGCTTAACTTTTTCTGTCGCAATTCTGATTTTCTTGCTACAGTTACATAGATATCAATTCAGGAGGTTTTTGATGCACATGACAGACATGAACTTTCACAGCCAACAAACTTGGAACTTGTTCATTATTACTCATGCTAAAAATAATTTCTCTGAGTTTCAATCTATTTTCTTTTATAGGTTGAACATTTTAATACATTTTAATATTTATCAAATTAAAAATACAAGGTATTGCTACTCATTCTTTACATATTCGATATGCATTTTTGATATAAAATTGGAGAAAAACCCAGTCTAAGTCTTACATGAATCAATATCCAGAAGTGAATTCACATTTAAAAAGTAAAACCCATTCATATGAAAAATACAAACTGCATCTCCTTTACAAATATTTTCTGTATGTAGACCTATTGTTGGTTCTTAAATACAGGCAGGAATGCTGCCAAGTCACTCTCAAATTACCTCAATGTCAACAGAAAAGTTTACAAGCTATACACTAAGGCATAGTTAATACACTGTGGTCTGAACTGATTTAAATATGAAAAAATAACCTTTTTACTACCTTAAATCTTGGATCAGCTAAATTGTTCTTTGGATGTTGACCATAGGTGATTATACATGGTACCTTAATTCTGTTTCATCTAGGTCTTACTAGGAGTTACTCTTATCTGGTATGATGAGCCTATCGCATTCATGATTAGATTACAGATTTGTGGAAATGAAGTGTTCCAACTTCATATAGCTTGCTATCATTGCTTTGCCCTATGCAATATAAGAGAGAACGGAAGAAGTGGGGTGCTTTTTAGCAGGTTTTAATTTTTTTTTTTGATTTGTCTTTATTTCAATCTTATTTTAGTAAACACCTGTTAAGACAAATTTTCTACCTTACTTTTTGACAATTTTAAACTTTGACAGTCTGCATGATAACTGCCAGAATCCTACACCAAAACTTTCTACACATCAGTTCTCATTTCTCAATGTAGATGGGCTGTATACATATGAAACATTAGAGGTGTCGTGTGGGTCATTACTTGACCAGTCTGGCCATTGAGGGTCATTACCCAGCCTCCTTTACATCAGTGAGATCATTAAGGTGTCTGGTGGACACTATAGATAGGCAGCAGAGGTGTTACCTTACCCTAAATGCCACATGTTAAGTCACAGCAATAGCTGTAGCCAGTCTTGGCTGTGACAAATATGTATAATCAGAAGCAGCCTAAGTAATTGTAAAAGGTGCTTATTATTATTAGTATATAGATTGCAATAACATGGTGCCCCCAAAATACAGCACATATCATGAACTATAGATTGTCCTTGATGGCACACTTAAAGCCTCCACAAGTGCCTTTATCTGAGGGATATGATAAGATAGCAGTATGTAACATCATGTGATAGTGTCAGATCATCTCTGGAAGGTTATGGATCCCCTGAATCACTGCCATAAAAAGCTGACTTTTTGCTAGCTAGGTGTGTTAGGGGAGGTGCCACAAGAATAAAAATGCTGTCCTTCGTTTCAATAAACAGTGTTTATTCATGTGAGGAATATCACTGCTGAATAATGAGAGGAAGCTTAGAGTTAAAAACTTGCTTGGATTTCCCATCAGATACAGTTATCCCTGTCAGCCCAGACACTCCTCCCCCTCATGTTTATCTGATATTATATGTCAATCTTCACTATGCACTGTAAATGCCATGTTTCACTGAAGTTTATTTACCTCTACAATACTGATGTTGCAATTGCTGTTTAATATCTGACAAAGTGAAACTACCGGTACTAATTTGTTGTTCACTGCAATCAAGTATTTTTATATATTATTATTATATGTATTCAACAGGGGTATGCAGTTTTAAGAAATAATTGATGGGCCATGAAGGAGAAATATTGTCCAAAATTACCGACCACTTCTACTTTAGAACAGAAATATTATCTAAATATTATCTGAAGAACCGAAAGCCAAAGGCGAAGCCAGAGAGAGAGAGAGAGATGAAGAAGAGATCATTCGGTGGTAACAGTAATTAACCGTGTTCTTTGGTCAGATTTGCACGAAAAACTTACCGATATTAACCAACTTAACGCCATCTTCACTGACGGCATTCAAAGCCAGCGTTACATTCTGTATGTAGTGGTGTTGATTCAATGGCTTCTTCACGATCCTTCCAATTTTTCGCGACTGAATAATTTCCACCAAGTTTCCCAGTTTAACTCCATCGCCGAGATCGGTCTTTAAGTCGCTGACAGATAATTCCCGGACTTGAAGTTGTTCGTTCACCCAGTTTGTAAACGTCGTTTTTTGGATAACAATCCACCTGTCATCATGGCCCCCCATCCCCCCAACTGCAGCGTGCCCCTCGGCAGAGCGCGCCTTCTCTCCAATATCAGCCATCTCCACCTCCTCTGTCAGGTCGGCAAACTTAAAGAAAACACGACGTAAAAACAAATACAGAAGTTCAGGGAGTTGGTCCCCACAGTCCGGTTACGTTGATTGACGTTAGTATTGGCCGGTGACAGGTCCCTATTGCAGCATGATTAAGACGGAGTTTGGGTGTCGCCCTTACAATCAATAGTATTGCATGCCTACCGTGACCCAATTTTCATTGAGTGCAAGGACGCAACCAATTGTAATTCAAAGGAGGGGTGTTGGGTCATCTACCTGTAGAATCTATCGGAACAATTGTAGTCAATTGCCACGCTGTTAACACAGTTAATTTTTTATAATTTAAAATTACGGAAAGCACACCAAAGATTTCAGACAATTCAAACCAGCAGAAGTTGTAACTTCGGCTGTTATTTCTGGATGAAGAGTTTACAGGTGTACTTTCGTCTCCCTTGCTCGTTTTGGCAGCCTCGCCCTGCCATCTAGCGACAAATTAATTGTCAACAAACAGGCTGACAATAGGCAATGCAGGCCCCGGTATATGACGATGATATCAGATATGAAGGTGATGATGCAGCCTGTGATTTGCAATTGAATGCTCAAATTTTCCAAAAGGGTCCGGTCCAAAAATGGACTGCTTTTCTTCTTGCGCTGTGGGAGAGGCGAATTGCGAATACACGCATTTTATTTATTTATTTCGCTTTTCATTTTATTTTATATATTATTCATTTATTTTTTCAACCGGAGCATTGCTTATTGTAGAACATATCAACTTATTATCACAAATTAAAGTTGACATTTGAGCATCAAATAGATAGCTATGACCTGCTCATGATAAATACATCAGAATGGCACGTGCCTAGCGGCGCAACGCAGCCGCCGATTAAATGATACATATATGTACCCTCTCTCTCCCACTGTGCGTGTGTATGTGTGCGTGTGTGTAAGCGTGCGCATCCGTTCATTCTCTATCCAACCGACTTCATACATTGCACATTAATTTCACATTTGTCCTTTTGCTGTCACGAATTAAAAACAAATAAAGTGATTGTAAACATGAAGAAATAAAATGAATTAAAATACCGATTTAAAGTGTATGATGACAAATATATGAATCAATACATTAATTTTTTTCTTCATTTTGTAAGTTATTTTATTAATGCATAAATTAATGAATATGTTATTCAATTATTCAATAATATTTAAAGAATCTCAAATTGAATCGATTTAAAATAGGCTAAATGAAAAATGAAACAATTTTAAGTGTACAAATTCAGGATGAAAAAAAAATGTTAAAAAATTAATTCAAGATCGAGCATGTATGAGTTCGATACACAAAGCCCAGATTGGCGCCGCACGCACAAACGCACATCCGCATATCATTTTATGGCTAGCATTTCTGCGACCCCAAGCAGTTACTTCTCACGGCAATTGTTGACGCGTCCCAACGGCTATTTTGACTAATTCACCAATCAATTTATCGATCTTATCTTTTCATTCAATTTCACAAAGGTTTGCCCAAATTTGAACAATCTTTGCTAACGCATTTCAGTGAATATTTCTAGTGACGGTCACAATAGGTTGAGACAAGCACGGTGACATCTGCTGCAACATAAAGCTTTAGAGTAGGACCTCTTTGGCGGTGTGATCATAAAAAGCAGTGTTTTTATTGTTTTCATAAATACTTCGTTTTTCTTATTGCAATAAGCGATTTTTACCACATTTCTTGACAGATCATAACTCTTTTTTATTTTTAGAAAGATGTGTATTCATAGATAAAGAAATTCCTTTCAGTAAAAATGTGTGTCGGTTTGTAAATTTGAATCCGGGCACATTACAGTGGTATTCTTGTAGAAATAGTTCAAAGTTATCAATATGACTTTGATCCATAATTCATACCACGGTGTCTTTACAATTTCCACAATCCTGTAGCAGCCCTGTCACTCATACATTATTGACTATTTTCAATATTTTTCCTACACACAGAAATCATATAGACATGCTAAACACGTACACACCACTCAGCTATATACAGTGCATTGAGAATTTTTTGCTGTTAGTGTTTATTATTTGAATGGATTCCTTGTATAACATTAATTTTAGTAATCAGACGCACGTCGTTTACACAAAAGAAAAGCACTCCTTCCACTTTATGTGAAAGCGACCAATCCGATAGAGTAAGAAGTCTCAGCGAGTGATATGATACAGCAGCCCTGATAATATGAATTATATACAATATATAATCCTTGACACTGACGTGAACACTGAACGAGTTCAGAACAATGAGAAGGAACGACAAGATCCTGCTCGCGGTGGTGGTGTTACTGACCCTATGCTGGTGGCACTATCTGGACTCTAAGCCCGACCTTCCCCTGTCCACGGAGATCGACGCGGACGGCCTCGTGTCACCCCAACGCGCTATCATGGACGGCGGGAATCAGCACGTGGTCGCGGAAGACTTGGATCAGAAAGATGCCAAAACCAAAACCATCCTCTTGTGGAATGACTATGCCTTCATTTACCAAGAAAAATATGAGCCGGTGTTTCAGGGGTGTGCCGTGAGTGCCTGCCAGATTGTCACTGACAGGACACGCGCTAAAGACATGGACGCCATTGTGTTTAACATCGCCACCAATAATTTCGCCAAGGAGTGCCAAGGCGAGTCTCCCGATTGTGAAATCCCTCAAGAGAAGCCCCCGCACCAGGTCTGGATCTTCCACACCCTGGAGGCCCCCTGTCAGGTGTTCTTTAAAGCGCACAAGAACAAAGACATGTTGTCCAACTCGTTCAACTGGACTTTCACCCACAGGAAGGACTCGGACGTGTACTCGCCTCTTGGTGTGATAGAGAAACGGGAGGTACCCCTGCAAAGGGACTTCTATGAGGTGGCGCGTAAGAAAAAGAAACTTGTCGGCTGGCTTGTAAGCCACTGCGAGACGCCAAGCAAGAGAGAACTGTATGTTAAGGAACTACAGAAATATGTAGACGTAGAAATTATAGGCAAATGCGGCAAACCGTGTCCATATAAGTGTTTAGAATACGTTAATAACACATTTAAATTTTACCTAGCGTTTGAGAACAGTCTAGCGGAAGGGTATATCACAGAAAAGTTTTACCGGACAGTCAATCTTGACGTGGTATTAATATCTCGTAGTGGCGTAAACTATACAGAGTTGGGGATCCTCCCCAACTGGCACATTAATACCGCAGACTTCCCATCCCCCCAAGCACTGGCCGAGTACCTGCTGGCCCTGGACAAGGACGACTCCAAGTATGTTCCGTACCTAGAATGGCGGAACCATTACGTCAGCAGCCGAGGGTTGGACAAGCCGTACGTCAGCTGGTGTGATTTGTGCGCCAAGATGCACGAGAGTCCTAGGCGATCACAAGTGTATTCCCGCCAAGAGATTATCGACTGGTACTACCCTCCAGGAGCTGACAGGTTCCGGGGTTGTAAAATACCCTCAGACTTTTCCGGGGCCTAATGCCTCGGCTGCCTCCAATACAGGAACAGATTTCTGCCTCCGCAACAAACGTTTGGCACCAAGTGTGGCCAAATGAATTATTACTTTAGTATCTATCTGATGATATGGACTTTATTTCTGTTTTGTAGACAATAATGTACCGTTTTCCAGGGACTTCATTTTTGCCTGTTAATTGGGAAAGTCATAAATAAAATTTGTAATTATAAATCAAAATTTGGTTTTATGTTTGAAAATAAATACACTTGTCTAAAAAAGAGACGAAAATAAGAATGAAATGTGCTTTTTGATGCACTAATAAATTAATACATGTAGGTTGTGGTTTTATCGGCGGCATTCAAGATAAAGAGTAGAGGCATTATTGGATGTTAATATATGCCTGAAAACGAACACTGATATCGGTCTTGCTCATGTTTTCCCTCAAGATCATTGATATCTTTGTATTTTTCATTTACTGTAAACAAACTTTGTTTCTCCGCCAGTTTCCCTTCACTGAGAATAAAATTGGAGTCATTTGACTCTCTCGTCAGAGTCCAGCACCCCTTGACCCTCATGGAGTTAATTTGACTCCTATATAAGATCAAATTACCCCACTACCAGAGTCTTTAAGAGTCTTTAGACTCTCTTATCAGAGTCAATCACCCCTGCCTCTCATGGAGTCAATCTGACTCTAAAATCAGAGTCAAATTACCGGGGGCCAGTGTCTGGCTGACCCCTTTCACCGACCCTTTTCGCTCGCTGGACAGTAAGCTTCGTTTCAGTACTTATGATGGCAGTGAGCAGACGGCGTGGAGAAAACAATTTTCATCATATTTTGTCAGTATAAACATTACTTTATTGGTTTTCTGTGTGTTTCTGCATGCAGAACTCGTGCACTTATTACTGGCCCGGGATTTCAGTTGCCCACACCCTTTATGTGATATGTTGGTATACAGGTCAGTAGGTTTTGTTTCCAGGTTGTAGGTTTGACCCGCCAATGCATGTCATTGGGGAGGTATGCTCACTCATTGGTATATTTGTGGTGTATTTATGTCATGCTGTTTATTACCAGATTTACAAACTGTTTGTTATTGCTGTTTAAACATCACATGCGTCCGTATGGCCTTGTGGTTAGGGTGTCCGTCACCGGGGCGGGACGACGTGGATTCTAACCTGTCCGGGGACATACCAGTCTTTAATAAACGGTACCTCCTGTCTCCCCGCTTGGCACTGTTGTTGTTGTTGTTGTTGTTGTTTTTTCATAATGTGCCAAGGAGTCAAAAATTCCTTAATATGGGGTCATGGTGATTCTTTTGTAGAGATAAATCAAGGGATGAAGGGATCTATGAATGGAGTCAATTGTGACCCTCCTGTGGGGTCTGGATGGCGTTACTCCATCGGAGTCAACTTGACTCCAATTGGGAGTTATTTTAGGCACCACTGCTGGACTCCAAGTTTGGAGTCACTTGGACTCCGATTTTATTCTCAGTGTTGTTTGGACCGAATTTCTTTGTAATTTCTTACAATAATGAGCCTTGTATTTGAACTTTTTATTTTACAGTTTTAAAGCTTCAAACATAAATAATTTGAATTTTGATAAAGAGTGTTGTGTTGTTCGTTTAAATACATAATTATTGTGCTTTGGTTCCTTTGGTTCAGCTTTCTAAATTAATATTAGAACTCGTTCAATTTTCTGAATCTGTTTGATTAATTATGAGTAAGTTTTACCAGTCACACTATCCTCACTCAGCATTTTAGCCTAGTTTTTCCCAAACAGTATGATGTATGATTCATTGTCATGTTGGCGATATAACCATTAAAAGTTCCCATCCTATGAAAGGTGTTGACAATTTTCATATGGCCGCCAAAACCAATCACAAAGAAAACTATTTAATATTAAAACTCAGGTTCCAGCTGATGAGGTGGTTTGGTTTAAATGCTAGGCATTTCCATGGTGGTATCTCACTCCGCGTTTATATCAAGTGGTTAATTTTTGATGAGACTTCTACACAGCTCTTGTCCCGCTTTCCTGCGCATCTGTTATCTCACACAAGGTTAGTTTCCAACATGGCACTTACAAGGCACGAGCGATTATTTGGCTTTGGTCTTCTGCTCTTTGTTTTGGCTTGGTGGAACTTGATATTCCTCAAACTAGAATTTGGAGAAGATGAGATCTCTCTGTTGTCGAGGTTGAAGAAAGACGCTGCGCCGCCGCCCACAAAGAAAGTCTCCACACTTACAAAGGCGAAAGAGATTAACAGTAAAACGCCTGGTAAAGAACAACCACCAGTGCACTCAGCTCCGAAGAAGCAAGTGCAGAAATTGCCTCCATCACTTCACAAAAAAGCTGAGGAACCTGCAGAGCCTGTTGCTAATTATGATTACTCGATGAAACTTTTAACTATTCCACCTCCAGTAGGACTTCGCAATGAAGAAAACGGCGCCAAACCAGCCAAACAACATCTCGAAAAAGATCAGTCAACAGCACGGCGGACCAAGACAATACTGCTATGGAACGATTATGATTACCTCTACAGCAAGGACAGAGAACCAATATTCAAAGACTGCCCAGTCTCTGAGTGCAAGGTCGTCACAGATAGAACACAGGCCAGCACCGCGGACGCTGTCGTCTTTACCGTGTCCACCATCAACTTCAGCCACATGTGCGAGGGCCCAGAGCCTGACTGCGACCTCCCTCTACGAAAGCCCGCTCACCAAGTCTGGGTATTTCATACATTAGAGGCCCCTTGCCAAATGGGCCTCAAAGGCAACAGGAACAAAGAATTTTTACTTAACAATATTAACTGGACTTTCACGCACAGAAAAGACTCTGACATTTTCACGCCGAATGGGGAGATCGTAAAAAGAAAGGTGCCATTGAACAGAGATTATTTATCTATAACTCGGGCAAAAAACAAGAAAAAAAGACCACCTGTGGGGTGGTTGGTGAGCCACTGTGACACTCCGAGTCATAGAGAGGTGGGTCTATGATGAAACACACACACACACGCGCACGCACGCACGCACGCTTGAACACACACACACACACACACACACACACACACACACACACAGGATATATTTGTTTTATTTAAGGGTCAAGAGAATAAATTAAGTTAACTTATGTATAGAACAGCAATTATTTAAGAAAAATATATTTTAAAAACCGTTATATTTATCACTGTGAATTGGCAAATATGGGGAAGTGGGCGGAATACTGCATGATCTGACCGCCTAGTCCTTATGTCCTTTTTAATATTCAGTGACGTCCAACAGAACAAAAGAAATTAACCATCAGTGCAGATAGAGGTTAACCAAAAACTGAACATATACACGATCCGAATATATTTGTTGAAATGAATAGCATTAACATACCACTGCTTATTCTGATGGAAATTGACCTGTGTATACTGCTATTACACATATTGAGAAAATTTGAAACTTCTCAATATCTACAAAAATCTGTAGAGCTTTTACAGGCACGCTTTCAGTTAGTTTACTAATTGATAAGTTTAAAATTTCGCCAATATGAGAAACCACTGTTCCGCCATTGTTTGTACTATATGACACTTATATTATTAATGCTTTTGCAGGTATATGTCAGAGAGCTGCAGAAATACATTGACGTTGAAATTTTGGGAAAGTGTGGCAAGAAATGTCCGACTGGATGTTTTAGATACATCAACGAAACACACAAGTTTTATCTGGCCTTTGAAAACAGCCTTGCGGAAGACTACGTCACCGAAAAGTTCTTCCGTTCAGTCAATATGGACGTTGTTCTTGTTACTAGGGGCGGGGCTAATTATGCAAATCTTGGGATCGATCCCCACTGGCACATCAACACCGCAGATTACCCGTCCCCGAAAGCCCTGGCCGCGTACCTGCACCGCCTGAATAATGACGACTCCCTGTATGTCCCTTACCTGGAGTGGAGGAACCACTACATGACAACCAGGCCCATGGATGGACCCTATGTCAAATGGTGTGATTTCTGTAAGAAAATGCACGAGACGACCACAAAATCTCAAGTGTATACGAAAAAGAGTCTTTTCGACTGGTTCTTTCCGCCTGGACAGAAAAGATTTAAGGGGTGTCAAGTACCCACCGATCTTAAATTTTAAACGCTAAGTTCACCTTTGACTTTTTTCAAAGTAGTTTTTACATGAAGCCCCGAGCGTAAACACTTATCTATAGCATCAAGAATTTTCTTGACTATATCTCCAATGTTTTTGTTCTACATGTAGGTAAAGGTTGAATTCCCATCGTGGAACTTTATTAGAATATCAAACCTATAATCGGTATGTCATTTATTCTTTGTGGCTCCATCTAGGGAAAATGCGTTGATGTACATAAACTATCAAAAAGTGCTAAAATTAAAAACAAAATACATTCTTAAGATGTGTCGTTTTTGCATAGTGCAAATAAAAGATAATCTATGTAAGTAATAGTAGGCCTATTTCCCTGTCAACGGCTTGTTTCTTCGGTTTGATTATTTCAACTGTTGGCCATAAGCCGTCTGCAGTCTGCCATTATCAGTTTACTGGTAAATGACAAGCGCGACACAACGTACGATTGCGACCGAACCATCTCTCCCCAAACACATTCACTTATTCAGTGAAAATCGTCACATTCACGCTGAGACCTACTAATGTCGCCACGTATCGTTGCGCTTGCCTACATGCCTCGTTGAGTAACTAGTACTAGGTAGAAAGGGGAAATGTTAGGTCTAAACCACGGATATTTTTGTCAAAAGATGACCTATTTTTTTGACAAGAGACATACGGAGAGAAGGGGCATCTACATCCGCGTAGTTGATGGCAGCCCAGGCTGTTCTCTCTAACAGGGTGGCAGATAGGGCCTATTATAGGCACATTTCCGACATTTCTGGAAATGAGGAAAATGTGGCTATAATATCTGCCACCCTGCTAGAGGGTACTCAACACAAAGGCCACCTCTCCTATGAAACGGCATCGTAGCGTAGCTATAACTTCCAGGCCTAGTAGCGAAAAGGGCTCATTTTCAAAGCTCATTAGCAGATAACAAAATCTCAATTTGTATGTGTTGATGTGTAAACCGATAGTTGGACATGTTTTTTAAGGATATCCATCGTTCCAGCGTTAATGCATCCTGTCTGCTTCAAGTACCTTTTATGACAATCATCTCCATGTGCACGTGTAAAAATACGCTTATTTATTGATGAGCACATTATTTTATTCAAATTCACTTAAAGGTTTTATTTCGGTAGGGTGATATCCGCAGTGACCGTCACAGCACGTTTTCCTTCATAACACTTAATGTTCTATTGAAATACCTTCACTGAGGCAAACAACACATGTTAGGTAAGGGTAATGGCAAAAAGTGAGTGCACCAAAATTGTGGAACAAACAGCCTTTTCATATAAGATCTGAAAGTAATTATGTCAGCTTTAGACTCACCTTATAAATTTTTTTTATGATAAATGTCCTTAAACTTTAAAGAAAGTCTTATTTTAGTGCTGTAATTTCTATATTTGGATTGTAAAGTGCATTGAAATGTATGAAATTAGAATGCAAGAAATAAATATTATTATAATTGTTGTTGTGAATAAATTTGATTATTATTGATTATTATTATTAGATTGCTTTTCCTATCTGTCGAAATTGAATATACTGACCCAACAACTTCAGTGAATTAAACCCACCCGACTAATACTTGAACGATGGATCCAAGCGCCACTTGAAGTGATTTGTCGTCTGAATATATCGGTATGTGGGCTAATTAGGTACGAGTGCGAGAATTCCTGAGGACGTAAAAGTATTGGGCGAGACCTACGTATCGGGCCGTGTATATATCGAGACGTCTTCCCAGTGTTAGAAATCAAGGCTGGACCGTCTGCCCGAGGCTGACTACTTTCAGAACTGGCTGAAAGTTTTCCCACCCGACAGGCATTCAGTCCAGCTACTTTTCAAGATGGCTGGACTTTCGATCCAGCAACTTATTTTCCTAAGAGGCAAACACTGCGTCTTCCTTTAAATTTGCCAAACACAATAAATGAAAATAATTCGTCGTCTACCCCGGTTACGATACGTCTCGTAATTGACAGGCATCAATCAAATTCATACCGTTTTCTTCAATTTTGATGGGGGCTGCCAGGTGCACACGACTTTGACTGACAGTTTTTATAAACAAACGTCAATCAAAATCATCACGCAGTTGATAACTATAGCCGTCGAACAGGCAAAACTCAAGCTTCCTACATCCTTTGATTGACAGCGTATCAATCAAATCCATTCAGTTTTGACAGGAGCTGTCAAATGATAACAGCTTGATTGACGGGTTATATATACATCAACGTCAATCATCACGCATACGATCACTTTAGCAGTAAAACACCGAGTACGAAAGAGATCATGCTATCTCCAGAATTTAGTAGTCATTATATTAGACAATTTGTCCAAAATCTACTGATGTTTTAGATCTCTGTAATTAAAACATCTAATTTGTTTTCACATCAGCTGACAATTCGGTTCTGGTTGAGATGAAAAGTTTGTTTAGGTTTTGTTTGAACTTTTACCGGACTGAGTATTTGACATGAACGTGGGATAATATGAATCTATAGAAAGCAATAAATAAACATATAAATAAATAAATAAATAAATAAATAAATAAATAAATATTTAAAAAATGATAAAAAAAATAAAATACTGTGAACAACTCTTGGGAGATTTTCATGTTCGTCATAACTTCGCTTTCGTAAATGTTGTTTTTTAGTTTGTTTTACTATAGTAAAGCGTGGATAGAATAGTATAAAGCTCCCGCGCAATGCCATTGTTTTTGCAGCTCAGCTGCTGGGATTAACTTAAGGACTGAGCAGGGTACGCTATCAAAGAGTAGCTTCAAGTAGATTGATATAGTTATGTACTATTCAGCAAGAGCTAACGTCATTTCCCACTCTCTCCTATGCTGAGTTTCTTCGTCTACTGCGTGCTGATGTCGGCTCTTAGGTCCATCTTTCCAGGCTATTGTAAAAGGATTATGACGCGCAAATATTTTATCAAAATAAGTCCCTTGTCTCTTATCACTGCCTAAAACCACCAAGTACAGGTGAACGTGGACTAAAAAATTGTTTAAACAATTGAAACATGCAGATGCAGAGTCGAGGTAAAATGTAGCAAATTTATCTCATTGGAGGTTTTTAATTTTTTTAATTCATCCTTCTAACTAGAAAGATGTAAATTACAAATCTTTTTACTCTGTTTTTGCCTATTACTCTTTCCTTTCATTATATACATATGCTGTCTTTTTCCCGTACCATTTCTTAGCTGTGGGTGGAAAATTCCGTGTTTACTTGGCGTCGCTCGACCGTCGGTTGCCCGCTGGCCTACGACTGAGGAGCTTTGAAAAGAAAACTCTTAAACGGTAGAAAACTCGGCTAGGGCGGCATTGAAGAGCACAGCTAGCTGCGTGAATTGATGTTAACAATGAACAATATCTTGAATGCATATACAATCAATTTGTTATATGCATTTAGATCTAACTTATTGATAGCTTATATACATTGATTCATGAAGTATCTTTAAAATAAACAAAATGTGTATCACTTAACCATTAGGTGTATTATTTACATGTAACTTACTTTTATATTTAACTTTAGATTTTTCGATATTATGGGGTGTCTTTTAAAATAACTATGTAATTTATAACTGTACATGTAGACCAAATTATGTTAGAGAGTTTTACTTAAATAAAGGCGTTTTATTTTAATACCGACCGTTTGATCCGAACACTGGCGTACTCAGGACGTGGCTAAGGGAGGGAGGGGTTGGGTGGGGTGTAAGGGGGGGGGGGCGAGGGAAAACAATATAGCACTGCTTTCCTTGGCATACTTTGTCATGAAAATTTGACTGGGAGCCGAAAAAGAAAGGACACGCTCTGCGTCTGTCATTTCACTGAGGTATGCGTTCATTTCTGTTTAGGGGTGGGGGGATTATGAAGCTAAGGGAGAGTTGCCGTGACGGTTGCAACACCTGCTGGTTCGTCCACTAAGCACAGGGGCGGATCCAGGATTATTTGAAGGGGGAGTTCCCCCCCGTTGGCCTGGGGTTTAGTGGCCCTTCCACGGATCCCGAAAATTTTTGCCCCCACCCCCTTTAAATTCACCACTGTAAGCAACCTGTATTTAGATGTATACTGTGTATGCAAGGCCTTCAAAGTTGAGTTGACGTATGTATTGCTTTTAATTTTTATATATATTGAATATCACGTATTAATTTGTGTCAGTGCAAGGTTTTCAAAAGGGAAAGAGAGCATAATGAAGATCCCAAACAGCCATTGTAGTTTCTGTTTTACTGCACTGTAAAAAGAAGTATAAAGATACGTTAGTGCATAGTGTATTACATTAAGTACACACGTACGGGTGGCGTGCCATTTTTCCGACGTAGTGGTCTTTAGAGCAGGCCGGGGGAAATTGGGCTTTCGTTTAGAAAATGATCACAAGGCGGGAGCCTTTTCAGTGTCAGTGCAGTTGTCGTACACCCTCCGTGCGGCTTATCTGAAGATTGATAAGTCGTCGGCGCAGACCCTGAACGTTTTTTGTGTTCTACCTGGTAACAGTTGGGACACAAATTTAATACAAGTCAATAGCATTAAGTTTTAATTATATTCACTGTTGTGATTCCAAAACAAACAAACAAAAAATAAATAAATAAATAAATAAAAACACTGATTGGGGAGGGGTGTGAACAACAACTTCAACCATCACAATGATCTCCGTAAGTCCACCGACCAAGTCCATCTTTTCAATGCCATCTACACTATATTGCTACACTTAATTGCTACGGCCTACGACGCTCAAAAAGAGGGCAGCAGAGAAACGACATTAAGGGGACTAATAGTAAAAGGACCAAAGTCATAGAAACAAAGCTCTGGGCTTATAAGTTTTTATAAAAAATCAAAACAAACTTCCCAAAAGGCCAATTAAAGACGGGGATTAAGTACAGTGTCCAAAGGATGACGCTATAGCGCCAATTTTAGGGGGNGAGAGGTGGGTCTATGATGAAACACACACACACGCGCACGCACGCACGCACGCTTGAACACACACACACACACACACACACACACACACACACACACACACACACACAAACAGGATATATTTGTTTTATTTAAGGGTCAAGAGAATAAATTAAGTTAACTAATGTACAGAACAGCAATTATTTAAGAAAAATATATTTTAAAAACCGTTATATTTATCACTGAATTGGCAAATATGGGGAAGTGGGCGGAATACTGCATGATCTGACCGCCTAGTCCTTATGTCCTTTTTAATATTCAGTGACGTCCAACAGAACAAAAGAAATTAATCATCAGTGCAGATAGAGGTTAACCAAAAACTGAACATACACACGATCCGAATATATTTATTGAAATGA